AAACTAGGTCGACACTTTTTTCACGTTTCATTTTTCTGAATTTATTTTAATTATTTTTGAGGTCACGTGAGCATATTTTGAAATTAGGTCGACACGTTTTTTCACGTTTCATTTTTCTGAATTTATTTTCATTATTTTTGAGGTCACGTGAGGATATTTCGAAACTAGGTCGACACTTTTTTTCACGTTTCATTTTTCTGAATTTATTTTAATTATTTTTGAGGTCACGTGAGGATATTTCGAAACTAGGTCGACACGTTTTTTCACGTTTCATTTTTCTGAATTTATTTTCATTATTTTTGAGGTCACGTGAGCATATTTCGAAATTAGGTCGACACGTTTTTTCACGTTTCATTTTTCTGAATTTATTTTAATTATTTTTGAGGTCACGTGAGCATATTTCGAAACTAGGTCGACACTTTTTTTCACGTTTCATTTTTCTGAATTTATTTTAATTATTTTTGAGGTCACGTGAGGATATTTCGAAACTAGGTCGACACGTTTTTTCACGTTTCATTTTTCTGAATTTATTTTAATTATTTTTGAGGTCACGTGAGGATATTTCGAAACTAGGTCGACACGTTTTTTCACGTTTCATTTTTCTGAATTTATTTTCATTATTTTTGAGGTCACGTGAGCATATTTCGAAATTAGGTCGACACGTTTTTTCACGTTTCATTTTTCTGAATTTATTTTAATTATTTTTGAGGTCACGTGAGCATATTTCGAAACTAGGTCGACACTTTTTTTCACGTTTCATTTTTCTGAATTTATTTTCATTATTTTTGAGGTCACGTGAGGATATTTCGAAACTAGGTCGACACTTTTTTTCACGTTTCATTTTTCTGAATTTATTTTAATTATTTTTGAGGTCACGTGAGGATATTTCGAAACTAGGTCGACACGTTTTTTCACGTTTCATTTTTCTGAATTTATTTTCATTATTTTTGAGGTCACGTGAGCATATTTCGAAATTAGGTCGACACGTTTTTTCACGTTTCATTTTTCTGAATTTATTTTAATTATTTTTGAGGTCACGTGAGCATATTTCGAAACTAGTCGACACGTTTTTTCACGTTTCATTTTTCTGAATTTATTTTAATTATTTTTGAGGTCACGTGAGGATATTTCGAAACTAGGTCGACACGTTTTTTCACGTTTCATTTTTCTGAATTTATTTTCATTATTTTTGAGGTCACGGATATTTCGAAACTAGGTCGACACGTTTTTTCACGTTATATTTTTCTGAATTTATTTTCATTATTTTTGAGGTCACGTGAGCATATTTCGAAATTAGGTCGACACGTTTTTTCACGTTTCATTTTTCTGAATTTATTTTAATTATTTTTGAGGTCACGTGAGCATATTTCGAAACTAGTCGACACGTTTTTTCACGTTTCATTTTTCTGAATTTATTTTAATTATTTTTGAGGTCACGTGAGGATATTTCGAAACTAGGTCGACACGTTTTTTCACGTTTCATTTTTCTGAATTTATTTTCATTATTTTTGAGGTCACGGATATTTCGAAACTAGGTCGACACGTTTTTTCACGTTATATTTTTCTGAATTTATTTTCATTATTTTTGAGGTCACGTGAGCATATTTCGAAATTAGGTCGACACGTTTTTTCACGTTTCATTTTTCTGAATTTATTTTAATTATTTTTGAGGTCACGTGAGCATATTTCGAAATTAGGTCGACACGTTTTTTCACGTTTCATTTTTCTGAATTTATTTTCATTATTTTTGAGGTCACGTGAGGATATTTCGAAACTAGGTCGACACTTTTTTTCACGTTTCATTTTTCTGAATTTATTTTCATTATTTTTGAGGTCACGGATATTTCGAAACTAGGTCGACACGTTTTTTCACGTTTCATTTTTCTGAATTTATTTTCATTATTTTTGAGGTCACGTGAGCATATTTCGAAATTAGGTCGACACGTTTTTTCACGTTTCATTTTTCTGAATTTATTTTAATTATTTTTGAGGTCACGTGAGCATATTTCGAAACTAGGTCGACACGTTTTTTCACGTTTCATTTTTCTGAATTTATTTTAATTATTTTTGAGGTCACGTGAGGATATTTCGAAACTAGGTCGACACGTTTTTTCACGTTTCATTTTTCTGAATTTATTTTCATTATTTTTGAGGTCACGTGAGGATATTTCGAAACTAGGTCGACACGTTTTTTCACGTTTCATTTTTCTGAATTTATTTTCATTATTTTTGAGGTCACGTGAGGATATGAAGTCGATGAGTTGTTTTTTTTTAACAGTGTTAAAAAAAGTTTTTCGATCAAAAAATGACTCGTTGCAAAATCAGGAAGGCTTCCTAATTTTGCCATGGATGAAGTCAACGATCAATTTTTCAAAAAAAAAAATCGGCCCGAGATTTTTCAGAAAAAAATCGGCCCGAGAATTTTCAAAAAAAAAAATCGGCCCGAGATTTTTCAAAGTTTTTGACACAAGTCAACATAAAAGTTACAGATTTGGAATAATCCAAAAATGTAAAAATGAAGTCGATGAGTTGTTTTTTTTAACTGTGTTAAAAAAAGTTTTTCGATCAAAAAATGACTCGTGGCAAAATCAGGAAGGCTTCCTAATTTTGCCATGGATGAAGTCAACGATAAATTTTTCGAAAAAAAAAATCTTATTTAATTATTTTTTTGTATTAAATGTACTCGCACAACGTTCCGAAACGCAATTGGGTGAGAGGAGAGAGATTCTAGAGAAAACATACGTTTTTAGTGGGCAAACGTGCTCAAATGAGAACAAAAACTCCATTTTTTCGAACATTTTCTGAGAGGTCGTTCAAACGTATCGCCGACATTGATAAAACAAATGGCCAAGCGCTATACGCACATGTATTATTTTTTCAATGTTTTTTTTGCAAAATGAAGCGAGGCGACAAGAGTTCACGCGAATAATCAACAAAACGTGAATTCTTTTATGTTTTTCTCTAAATCTCTTCCTCTCACCCTATTGCATTTTATCATTAGCCTAAAATGTTGTGCTCGTGAGATGTTGAACACATGAATTACAATTGAATTCATGAAAAATTTCGAGTTTTTTGATCAAAAAATGACTCGTGGCAAAATCAGGAAGGCTTCCTAATTTTGCCATGGATGACGTCATCGATCAATTTTTCGAAAAAAAACTCATTTCATTATTTTTTTTGTATTAAATGTACTCGTGAGAGGTAATACAAAAAAAATAATTAAATAAGTTTTTTTTCGAAAAATTGATCGATGACGTCATCCATGGCAAAATTAGGAAGCCTTCCTGATTTTGCCACGAGTCATTTTTTGATCGAAAAACTTGAAATTTTGAATGAATTCAATTGTAATTTGTGTGTTCAACATCTCACAAGTACATTTAATACAAAAAAATAAAAAAATAAGTTTTTTTTCGAAAAATTGATCGATGATGTCATCTATGGCAAAATTAGGAAGCCTTCCTGATTTTGCCACGAGTCATTTTTTGATCGAAAAACTTTTTTAACACTGTTAAAAAACAACTCATCGACTTCATTTTTACATTTTTGGATTATTCCAAATCTGTAACTTTTTTTGTTGACTTGTGTCAAAAAAATAAATAAATGATTTTTTTTTTGAAACATCTCGGGCAGATTTTTTTTTTTGAAAAATTGATCGATGATGTCATCCATGGCAAAATTAGGAAGCCTTCCTGATTTTGCCACGAGTCATTTTTTGATCAAAAAACTTTTTTTAACACTGTTAAAAAAACAACTCACCGACTTCATTTTTACATTTTTGGATTATTCCAAATCTGTAACTTTTTTTGTTGACTTGTGTCAAAAAAATAAATAAATGATTTTTTTTTTTGAAAAATCTCGGGCCGATTTTTTTTTTGAAAAATCTTGGGCCGATTTTTTTTTCAAAAATCTCGGCCCGATGTTTTTTTTTTTGAAAAATCTCGGGCCGATTTTTTTTAATTCTCGGGCCGATTTTTTTTTTGAAAAATCTCGGGCCGATTTTTTTTCAAAAATCTCGGCCCGATGTTTTTTTTTTGAAAAATCTCGGGCCGATTTTTTTTAATTCTCGGGCCGATTTTTTTTTTGAAAAATCTTGGGCCGATTTTTTTTTCAAAAATCTCGGCCCGATGTTTTTTTTTTGAAAAATCTCGGGCCGATTTTTTAATTCTCGGGCCGATTTTTTTTTTGAAAAATCTCGGGCCGATTTTTTTTTTGAAAAATTGATCGTTGACTTCATGCATGGCAAAATTAGGAAGCCTTCCTGATTTTGCCACGAGTCTTTTTTTTATCAAAAAACTTGAAATTTTGAATGAATTTGATTGAAATTTCCCAGTAAATTTTCCACAGAAGCAAACACAAGAATTTTTTACGTATTGAAGACTTGGATAATATTTTTGGCCCGTTAGGAATTAGGAATTCTTGAACAATGCCAATATCTGAAGAATCAGGATTTTTCGTTCATGGGTCACGCAGGATGATTTTTCGATTTTCTCTTTATCTTTGAGCTCTTTTTATTCCATCTTCTTTTTCCTTTTCTCCATCTTGTGATTCTGTCCAGGATCAGCAGCAGCAATAACCGCTTCTCCATCTTCAATTCCGCTTCTTCATCTTCAATTGCATTATTTTTAAATGTTTGGACGGTCAGAAAATTTGGCCTACAATTGTATCAAAGCCAGTAATCCCCCCTTTTTTTTATTTTTTCTGGAAGTAAGAAAATATCCAAATTATTTTACATTTCAAATAAATAGATGTTTGATTTTTTGAACGGATGAAATAGGTTTTTTTGTAATCAAATAACGAGCAAGCTAAATACACTTCATCTATAGTTTGAACAATTAATTTGGCATCATTAAAAGTATGGCAGATAAACACTTTTACTTTGCACAGGTGTGATAATGATTTGAATTATTTGATTTTCATGCCCATTTCTAGTTAATTAACAGGTGTTCAAATACAACAGAACTTCTTTAAAAGTAGCTCGCCCCCAAGCAAATTCACCAATCATGTCAACTTCAATTACCATTCTCCTTTTGGCTGTCGCTGTTTTCGCATCAACTGATGCTTGTGGAGATACTGCTTCCCAGTGAGTCATATCACTTCAAATATTTAACAATTTTCAACATTTTTTAGATGTTCTTCATGGGTAAAAAATGGATTCTGTAAGAGTGCATATTATACATATGATCAGAAAAAGGCATACTGTGGAGCATCTTGTGGATTCTGTCCAGGATCAGTACCAGTAACAACCGCTCCAGCTTCGGGATCATCTACTTGCACCGATTCTGCATCAGCTTGTGCTTCATGGAAAAATAATGGTTTCTGTACCAATTCTTTCTACTCTGATGCTACCAGAATTCAATATTGTCAAAAATCTTGCAACCTCTGTTCTGCTTCGGCTACAACAGATGCATCTGGATCTACTGTTACTGTTCCTGATACAACAATCAGTGTATAAATGATATACATGAATTGACAAAGTTTTAAGTAGTTTCGAAATAAATCGTTTTCAGCAATGGGACGATGCGCGAAGAAAAAAAACGTCAAAAAACGTGTTTCGAAACATAAAAATACAATGCACGAAATGTCGCAAAACGTCGCGAAACTCGAGTTTTTCGACATTGAAATGTCGCGGAACAAGCATGTTTTTTGTATCGTACTGAAACCACAGACACTGGAGATCGGTTCTTACAATGTTTTTACTTGTTTATAACAGTTTTCACCACCATTTTCTTCGGAAACACGAGACTTGGCAAATGCAATTCACAGACAACGCTTTCATTTGACAAAGATTCCTTTTCAAAAGTTTTTATTACCTACTTTCGTAAATTAATATCCTTTCTCATTCCCTGATATGTTTTTTCTACAAAAACAATCTATATTTTTTCCACATTTTGAGAAAAATCATACTTGTTTCGCGACATTTCAATGTCAAAAAACTCGAGTTTCTCGACGTTTTGCGACATTTCGTGCATTGTATTTTTATGTTTCGAAACACGTTTTTTGACGTTTTTTTTCTTCGCGCATCGTCCCACAAGGCATTTGAAATGACCATGTTTTAAACATGAATCCTTACAATATCAAGGTCATACCTTTGGAATCTATTCTTTTTGGATATTTGTTCATAATGAGAAGAGTTTTTTTTAAAGAATTCATTTGGAAAATACTCGCATTGTCAATTGGAAAAAAATATAAAAATTTTAAATCTCGAATATTCGAATATGGAAACCAATAAAATCATCACTCTGATTTCACATCATCTTCATCACATTCGATTGAAACTGAACTTTCAGACATAATTTCATCTTCTAAACTGTCTTCATTTCTCATTTCTCCTCTTTCTCCATTACTTTCATCATTTCTCTCGTTTTCCTCTTTTTCTTTTTCTTCCTCTTCTTCATCATCGACTAATATTGTATCTGTTGTCGCAATGCTGGCCAATGCAGTTAGCGGCGCTTTTGGAAGGCTACAAAAAAAGATGATAGGAAAAAGAGAACTTGTGTTGAGAATTGAGAGAGTTTGGGACATCTGCTTCCGTGGCGCAATAGGCAGCGCGTTCGGCTGTTAACCGAAAGGTTGGTGGTTCGAGCCCACCCGGGAGCGAAACTTTTTGGGGAGTTCGAACTTTACCGATAAAAAACTTGGAAGATTTTATTTTCCAAATATCGTTTCACTGTGAATTTACTCCCAGATTCCTAATTTAAAAATTTAAAGTCTACGATATATTCAATTGAAATAACATTTTCAATTCATTAATAAATTTTCTTATAAATTTTTAAATTTGAAAAGTTTTTTCCGAGTAAAAATTGAAGCTTTATTTCAGTTTTTCATCAAATTCCATGTTGAAAAGTTTTTTTCAAAAATCAGAAAAATATTCAACAACTTACTTATTCAAATCTTGTGCAGCTTTCACAGCATCCGAAACTTTTGCAAATACTCTCCATTCATCAACAATCTCATAAAAATCGGTCGCTCTAAACAATCTTTTCAATTCAGCTTTGTTAACTACAAAAAATGTTTGAATTCCAGCACTCGATAAATCACTGAACACAGTCTTTAATGTGCTTAATCCAAGATAATCGACATATGGAAATCCATCACAATCAATAACTAATTTGCATCGGTTATCTGTTTTTGATGAATCCTTTTTCCATCGACGACGTGCAGCTTTCAATTTCTGAATTTATCAAAAAAATTATTGTTTGCTGTTCGCAAACACTCTACCAACCGTGTCAAATAAATCGCCACTTTTATCCGAGTTCATTTGTTCAATAGTAACAAATGATTCCATCTTTGTGCGCTCCCATTTCTTGACACATTGCCAAATTGACATTGTGAATCGATCAATACTTGTAAAAATTAATGGAGCATCCATTCTAAAAATACAAACATTTCCTCGAATTCTTTCAAGTTCTCGTCGTTTTGTTTCCCGGAATGTTCCAGTTTCTTCATCACGAGATAGAAAATGCCATTTTGGTCTGAAAATGTAGGATGTTAACGTTTCAGAAGTTATGACGATCATATACCTTTGTGTTCTAATGATTGTTGTTAAAACAGCAAATCCAATTGCCATCAACAATCCTTCTCCCATATCATAACAAACTGTCAAAAAGAAACTCATCAACCAAATTGCAAAATCAATCTTGAAAACTGGCCAGAGTTGCTTCAACTCTTTGAACTTGTCTAGCATTCCCTTTTGTGCAAAAATAATCATTGTTGCTAAAATACACTGTGGTAAATATTCGAGAGCAGGTCCGATATATAAAATAACTGATAATAGAGCAAGAGATGAAAAAAGACAAGTCAATTGCGTGGAACCTCCAACAGCAGCTCCAACAACACTTCGAGCAAATCCAGATGTTACTGGGAACACTGGGAAAAATGATGATAACACTCCAACGAAACCAAGAGCATATAATTCCTGTAAGAGGCATAAACGTGATTTGAAAAATTCAAAAATATCAAAACTGAATTTACATACCTGCCCATGATTAATTTTGTAGTGATACCGTTTCTCGACAACTTTTGCCACAGTAATATGAATAGCGACAGCTGTAATAGCAATGGCAGCAGCATTTAGACCGATATGCCGAATCAAATCAAATCTTGGAAGAGATGGAGGTGGAAATTCGGTTGGAATGTTTCCAACAACTCGAACATCGTGACGTCGAGAAAGTTCAGCATAGTTTGTAGCAGTAATTCCAACAACCACCTAGAAATGATGTTTTTCAATTACTTGATTTTGAAAAATTGAAATTGTGAAGGTTTGACTCACCAAAACGAGTTCAAATGGAACTGGATAATTAAATGCTGAACTCAACCACGGTGATAAATACTCTTTTCCGAGAACCAAAAATAATAAAGATGATATTGATATTGACAGTGTTGGATAATGAACATTATCCAAGTTTTCAATCAAATCGAAAATTCTCTAAAAAATAGGAAAATAATAGTTTGTTTTTTTTTGTTAGGAAACGCTTATTCAACTCAAAATTAAAAATAAATTCAGAAATTCAGCTATCAAAAGGAATGGTCAAATTAGTGTTAATGGGGGATTTTTGCAGATAACCCACTAACTCCGGACCGGTTCCATGTGTACAAACATTTTCTTTTCTATTATATACCCTACCTAAACCTAGCAACCGACATTTCACTGGCAAACAGATTTCATAACACATACAAATTGGGTGTTGCGAAATCATTGAGAGCGTATTTTTTTCTGATAGGTATACATAAGTTGAAAATCAATACTCACATAATATAAGTATCCCGGTCCACTTCTTCTGGGTAATTTGATTCCAAGCATATCACCAATTTGTGCAAAGAAAACGTGAATTCCACCACCGACAACGAAACCACTCATAACTTGTTCGGAGAAAAGGGAAGTCAAATATTGTAATCGAAAAACGCCCATTAGGACTTGAATAACACCAGCTAGGAAAATGATAGTTGTTGCCACGTGGATTTGCTTGACAGGGGTCACTCCTTCAGTCCACATTTCCATTGTTACTTCTTCCATGAATGTCGTCTCATTTCCCAAGATTCTGAATTTTATTGCAATATTGGATAAATTGTTTCAAAAAAAAATTCCGGAGAATTTTCTTTTTCAACTTACTGCATCAGTGTGGAATTATTGATTACTGTATCATTATCCATATCAATAAGTTCATCTAATGTATGATTCACATAAGCTGTTGCATTATAACTCGTCGCTGTTCTTAACATTACTTTCTCAATTGCACCATGTGTCATTAAACTTAATACTGCGAAACCACCCAACGCATTATGTTTTGATGTTCCGAAAAATATATATAAAAACGATGGAAAAATTGCTGTATATAAACCATAAACTGGAGGAACTCCTGTGATACCAGCTAACGCGATACCTAAAAATCCCCGTTGTCATATTTCTTCAAAATTTTCAAAACAAACCTTGAGGCACTGAAAATACAGCCATTGTTAGACCTCCAGAAACATCTCCGAAGAATGAATGTGACCAATCATATTTAGGAAGCCAGGATATTATAGGTAAGAATGAGAGAAGTGAATGAAGACATTTTGTGGGTGAACAGGCATATCTGATTTTTTGGGCTTTTTCACGAAAAACTGCATTCAGAGGGGGACGATCTGAGAATAACTGAAAAAATATTCAAATTTTAGAGTCAATTTTCAGTTCACTTTGGTAGAATTTTTTCCTTTTGTCATGTAAAACACAAATTTAAGAGTCGTTCAAGCAGGTTTTCAGTGAACAATTTTCAGTAAACAAGATTATTTACAAAGAACACATAAGTTTAACGTCATGATTTTTAAGCATGTCCAAAGAATTCCGGTTTATCAGATTTTTAAAAGGCTATTCAAAAATTAACAACAATCTTAGCTTTCTCAAAATTTCAAAGATCAAACAACTTTTCAAATAACTTACCTCTCTCAAAGCCATTTCAAAGCTAAATGAGAATGTTCTAAGAAAAGGTACAATTTGTTCAAAAATTAATCCGTTTTGTTAACAAAATTTATATAAACAAGACATTTTTTGATAAAAAACACAAATAAAAACTGACCTTTGGCATACGAGAAATGCAGATATTTTCAGAAATTAATTTTCAATAAATAAATACGATAATAAATTATTGAATATGTATTGAAAGTGTGAAACAGTGGAAAAATAATGAATTGTAAAGGAGGAAGAAGAAGGAGAAGAGAAGAAGTTTTTGATGCTGCCTATACACTTCGGTCGTGTTGAATTTTCGCAGTCGCGGTAAGACTTCTGACAAACAATTCGGACCGCTCTTTCGCACCACCGAAGGTAGCAGCACGAGAAGAGAGAAAAAAGAACAGCACAAAACCGGAACGAAGACTTATGTTAAGATAATGGGAAATGAGGAGAATTTGAGAGACAATGGTAGATTGTAGGAGGAATACCGAAAAATATAAAGTGACGTGGATTTTTCACGGCGCGACGTGGATTTTTCACATGGACAAAAAAAGAAGTAGAAAATGATCAGAGAGAAAGAAGAAAAAGTGAAAAAATGATGGTGCAATGAGAAAATTGTGTGCGATAGAGCGCGCTTTCTCTCCTCTCCTGACGGGTCTAACAAAAAAACAAACTATTATTTTCTTTTTTTTTAGAGATTTTCTTTTTTTTTAGAGAATTTTCGATTTGATCGAAAACTTGGATAATGTTCATTATCCAACACTGTCAATATCAATATTATCTTTATTGTTTTTGGTTCTCGGAAAAGAGTATTTATCACCGTGGCTAAGTTCAGCATTCAATTATCTAGTTCCATTTGAGCTCGCTTTGGTGAGTGAAATTTTTACAATTTTAATCATTGAGAAAATATTCTTTATATGATGTTTCAAAATGTTGTAATTACTGCTACAAACTATGCTGAACTTTCTCGTCGTCACGATGTTCGAGTTGTTGGCAACATTCCAACCGAATTTCCACCTCCATCTCTTCCAAGATTTTATTTGATTCGGCACATCGGTCTAAATGCTGCCGCAATTGCTATTACAGCTATCGCTCTGTCCAGGCGACGTAAAAAAAAGCACACCGTGTTTTGATGACCATACTGTCAAAAATAAAATTAACAAAAAATTTGAAATTTATAAAAACCTCTAGAACAATGTTTTTAATATTTACAGATTATTTAAAAGATAGATAGTCATTTTGGTAGATTGTGGGAGGAATACCAAAAAATATTGAGTGGTTCTCTAACTAGGGGTGGTTCCTCTAGGCGAAACAGTTAGACAATTCCTCAAAATTTTATAATTTTGAAAAAAAACCATTTTTCGTAAAACTTCTTTTATTTCTAATGCTATCTTCCGGGTTAGCCTTTGGTTTGAAAAATCTTTCATCATTTTTCTAGACACTGGCCTGAAATTTCTCACAATCAATAAACACACTGAAACCAATTGAAAAATTTATTATCATCATTCTCTGCAAGTGAAAAAAAACGAATACAAAAAATTGTGACAACCGAAAATATATTTCGCCCGTGTTTAACAAACAAATAAAAATGTGAGAAAACCGAAAAAAAACGTATGAAATTGACGAATAAAAAAATCCTGATGAGAGATTCGTTTTAAAAAAATTTTGGAATGATGACAAGAATAATGGGGGATAGAGAACATTGAAATTCACAGAGATTCTAGTCGATTTGATTGTCAGTGAGTCTGAAAATATACATTTTTTATTTTTGTAATAAACTCGTCAAATGATTCATTTCAATAAAGTTATGTCATGTTTAGAAATTATGCAAAAAATATGAGTTTCTTCTTTTTCTGTTAGAAATCAAAACAAGAAAAAACAGATTGTAGCCACCTTCTACGCTCCGGCGGAACATCGGTGAGTTCTTGAGCGGTTGCCTCTTTTGTGAAGTCGGCTGGCTCATCAGTTGCGTAATAACAGAAAATGAAATTGCCACCTGCAAAAAAATTATTGCAAAAAAATATAAATTTATTCGATGAAAAGTGAATTTATCAGTACCAATCAATAAAACTCCGTGGATAAGGAATACAATTCTCCATTCGGCCAATGTGTTGTGAGTGCAAATGAGATAAACTAGAAGTGGTTCAATGAACAGTGAAACACATTTGATGAATTGGATTTGTGATAAGACGAAGTGAGAGTGTTGCCTGAAATATTTTGATTATGTGCAAAAACGCTTGTATTTTTTTGAAATCTATAATTCTTATTAAGTTCAATTCTTATGTATTGCTCTTGTTCAAAATCTGTGACTTTTTGTTTTTCAATCTCGAGCGTTTCTTCTCTTTTTTCTAGTTACCGAGCGACTAATGTTGCGCATTTATAAAATCCTCCACAAATGAAACCAGTTGAGCATTCAATAATCAACAAGGCAATAAGTGAGAGACTTGCATGTTCTTTTGGCAAGAATCCAAGAATACAGAAGAATAATCCAGAAACTTTGAGAGCAATTGTGTTGAAGATTTGCATTTTTGTTTTTTCCGATAGGCATCTGCAAAAAATGTTCATTAAATCCCTGAACGTTCTCTATAACCCTTTTCTTACTTGATGCGATCACTTGCAATTCCAGAAATAATCTTGAATGCCAAATGAAGTGCTCTTGGAACAGCGACAAAGTATCCAGTATGATTAACAGCAAAGCCTAAAACTTCTTTCAAGAATGTTGGACCATACATAACAATGAATTGTGACATCATCAATTCTCCAAATGCTGATAACCAAACAGCCCACATAACATGATTCATGAGAATTTTCTTGATTGGAGCTTTCTCGTGCTCTTTCACTTCTCCTTTTCCTCTGTGAATTTTTTCGAGTTCGATTTCAGTCATCAAAGGATGCTTTGCTGGGTTGTTACGATAAAATGCGAGCCAAAGAAGGAAGAATGTTCCACTGACGGCAGCGTGCACGTAATATGCTGATTGCCATCCCCAAGATGAATTGCATAACTGGAAAAATTGAAATTAGAAAATGTTCGTTACACGTGGAAAACATTTGATTGCAAGGGAGAAAAGTGTCCTTTGAAACAAAGAGATACAGGTTACAATTCTACTCAAGATTGATGTTCTAAAGATGATGTTGTTTGCAAATAAAATTTTCTGAACTTTGATGTCGCAAAGACTGTCTTTTTTTGGAATAGTGAAACGATTTTTGCTGACAATATTTTCAAGTTCTCTGCAACATTCAGACCCATTTATAACAGTGTTATTCAAACTTCCAAAGCACACAATGATAATCTAAATTTTCAACCAACCTCTCCTGAAACCGGCATTGTGAACATCACAGAAATTTGTGAAAATGAAGAAAGCAACGAGATGAACAATCCATGTTGCTTCAAACTGGCCCAATTCACAACAATCAAACCAATCGCTGCAAAATCAGCACCAAATGAAATACCCTGAAAAATCATCATAACTTCCGTGGTTCTCCTTAAAGGGAAGCCGATACCTGGAAGAATCTACAAACGATTAACAAATTAAAGCTGATTGATGCGGCGACTGGGATTGCAACAGTTGAAAGGGTGGAAATGAGACCAGCAACAAAGAAAACACTTCGAGCTCCATATTTCTGATAGAACCAATGGAATGGCCAGGCAGCTAAGAGAGTTCCAACTGCAGCAGCCCACATGATTATCGATTTTTGTTTGATGGTATAATCATAAATATCAGGTTCATTTTCCTGAAATTAAATTAAATTGTTAGAAAATTTGTGAAAAATGTATGATACCGTAGTATTTCCAGTTCCTTTCATGCAAATAGTTGTGAAATTGATAACAGTCATATTTGAAGCAATTGAAGAAATACATATCGATCCTGAAAATTTTATTAAAAATGTAGGTAATTCAAGAACATAAGAGGTTCAAAAAAATCATCCCAAGTTTGTCTAACTTACCAATGAAAAGGACCAAATACCGCTGACGTGTTGACAAGCAGCCAACTTTTTCATCATCTCCTTTTCTTGTCATTTTTTCTTATCTCGGTTTCTACCCTGAAAATATCCATATAAAAATAGAATTGGATGAACAAAAAATTCAAACATCACGAGAAATATAAGAGTGACAGTAAACTGGAAAACCGTAGAACTGACGAAAAATTGGTCTCTCATCTTTTTGACTAAAAATACATTTATGGTGGTGGGCGAAATGACGTGTGAAAAGTGAAAAAGTAAATTCATACAATAAAGATTACGATCTCTGTTTTTTCTCGCTCGCTCTCTCGCATATTTTTGCCCCAAAACTGGTACTTTTACAATTGTTTTAACACCTTTTATACATACAAACGTAGGAAGTTAGTCAAAATATTGTTTTATTTCGAAACAAAAATAACATCTAGTTTGAAAAGTCAACAATGTCAAATAGGATAATCCAATTGTTTTGTTTAGTTTTCCAGAAAATTTGTGTTAGGATATTATTGGGAAACAAATCAAAGAGACTGAAACAGAAATAAATTGAAATCGGAAACGTCATGAAACTTTTTGTCAAGGAAAAACAATAGGAATATCTCAATTCGGCAAGCAAAATGAATGATAGATGAGACAAAAAATGACAAACACAAAGAACAGGACAACAATAATAATAATATTGAAAATGTTCAGAAAAAATAGATATTGAAACGCAATTTTAAAGTTTACAGAAGAATGTGAGAAAAGTGGATGTGGGTTTAGTGAGACAAAACAGAAAATAAGGATTAATAGTGCATCCAATTTTGCATCAAAATTTTGTTCCAAAAATGAAACATTTTATTCATTATGGTATTTTTCTTTTAAATTTATTTATCAGAAATCAACAAACCAATATATTTGTTTTGATGGTGTTTGCGATGAACTTGATTTACTCTGGTTTCTGGTTTCAAGTTCCAAATAAAAAGTTTTTCAAAACACAAAAATATCACAATTATCAAAAAATAAAACTTTGTCACGTCATAACTCGTCACAGACACGTCTGAATAGGAAAACGTGGAATTTCACGTTGATCAGCAAGTCAAAATCAGTCACAGGCAGAATTTGCAAAAAAAAAACAAAAGATTTTTTCCCCGGCGGGGTTCGAACTTGATGATATCGTCTTTTTTAGCAGGCTCTCTAAACAGATGCTCTACCGACTGCGCCATCCAAGGCGGCGAGAAGGCACGAGTGAATGACTAATAAATAATTTGCCTTTTTACAGATTTATTCAAGAGGAGCATCGAATTTGGTTTTATAGTTGAACTGGACGTTTATTTTCAAAATAAAATATATCATTTCCGATAGATTTTGACATGCTGAACACGATTTTGTGGTCATTTTTGAGCTACTCCCAGAAGAAAAAAAGTTTATAAAAAAGCTCTTTCGAAAAGTTCTACAAAAGTGAGATATTTTTTTAGATAGAAAAATTCTTGGCTCCTAAATTTATTAATTTATTTTCTATATCAGATCACCAAGTGAAAAATCGTTTCAAAATAGAAACTTCTCACAGAAAAAGTTGATAAATAGAAGATTTGGAGAAGGGCGTTTTGTTATTAAAACTAGGAATTTATCTTCAAATGTGATGTGAAAAGCTGGAAACGTGCAAGAAAATATAAAAACTCAACTACCAACGAACAAAGTTCATGAATTATGTAAATCAATCATAAAAAATGAATATGACAATGAAAAAACAACAACAAAAATTGAATCATGGAAATGTGAAAATTTAGATCGCAGAACAATTTTTATATAAAGTCAGAAAAAAATGGTTTTTTAAATAAATGTCCGAAAAATTAATCAAAGTTTGCCGGTTTCAATTTGAGAATTCTTCAAATATCAACTTTTGAGAAATGTTGAATGTATCAATTTTACAGGAATTTAAAAGAATGAAAACAAAACCATTAGAAACAAAGAAATTGAAACATTTCAAAAGAATACAAATTAGTCTCAGGATAATTATTTTTGAGTTTCTGAATAAAAAAAGAAACAATGCAAATATCAGAATGAAAATATTCGAGATGATAAATCAAAACAATGACATATGAAAAACAACACAATAATTTTCAAAAATCAGGTGAACAAAAAAGATATATCATTCAACGTCACAGAAAATGTATTTTATATCAAGAAAAATGAAAGAAGAACAACATTTCGAATATATTTTTTGATATTTTTTAATGAGAAAATAACTCGAAATCCGAATATTCAAGAAATAAATAAAAACAACAAGAAATGAAGATATACAGCATGATAAATGTGAATGTGAAAAGAAAAACTGACAAAAAGAGTGAGAGAAGAATGTGATTTCAACCCAAAAAACAGAAAAGTACAAGTATTTTAAAAACATTGTGATGAAGGAAAGATCAGAAAAAAAGGTATTTTGAACTGCGAAAAATATGGGATTAGAACTTTTTCGGAAGTGTTTTTGAAGTTGGACCAAGAATATAATTTAACTTACACAATAGAATCTTTCCAACTAGCTATCGAGTTTCTGGCTCAAAAATTTTTGTAAAAAGCTTTATGAAAATTAAAAGATATATAGATGATTCAATAAATGTCAAACAACGATCAGAAAATATATATTCAACAAAGAAAACAAAGATCAGAAGAATGTACAAATAAATATATTTCAACGAAAATGATAAATGTGAAAAACCAAAAGAACAGCATCGTTTCAACCCACCTGAACAACTGGATATGATTTTTGATTTTTTGACACTTTTTGATAACCTAAGTCAGGCCAGTTTCACTACTTCATTTCTCTTTTCCCATTAAAATTATCTTCAGTTGAAAAAAATTATCAAAATTCTTTGGTGTAATAAAAATGAAAACAAATCCAGAAAATCTAACTCAAATCAATGTGTTACACACAAACATCTCAAAGAAAAAGAAGATAAGATCATTAAAATATGAGTTCGAGAAAAAAACACACACAACGTCATATTTTCACATGGTCCCAAAGTATTTTCGAGCCAAAGATCCTTTTCCTTTTTCTCATCTTTTTTTCCAAAAAATAGAAGAAATAAGAAAAAAGCTAATGTAGTCAGAAATGTGTCAAATCAAGAAAAAAGCCAAAACTTTGATGGATCATTGTAAAAACAACATATGGTGTCATTTTTCCTTGACAAACTAAAATATTTGGTAACTTTTTGGTTTTACGATTATTCGAATTGCAATATGTACAATTTTGAAGGTATCAATGAAAATTTGCATATTCCGATTGAATATTCAACATTCTTTACTAACCAAAATATCAAGGTTGGACTTTGTGTCAAACATTTTTTGAAGTGAGAAAAAGGAAAGTTTTGGTCTGGTCTCTAAAACAATCAACAGTAATTTTATTGAGTGATAAATCAAAAAAAAACAAACAAAATGAATTAGTGAGTGACAAAAAAATGATAAAAATTACAACAATAACATTTGAGAGACCGACTTGTTCTACCCGAAAATTTATAAAACAATTGTATGATTGATTACCTCTCTTTTACTGTATCAGGTAAGCGAAGACAAAAATGACAGAAAATAATAGAATAGTAATCTTATCGCCGTTAGGAAATCTATCGCTTTTTTTCTGCACCTTTTTTGCCAACCAAACCGAATGATGAATGAGGGGGTATACGGTATTGCTATGCTACTAAAAAGTAGAAAAGAATCATAACTTTGCGGTTCGAGATCAAAGGTTTAATGTAAATGAATTGTTTATTCATAAATATAAAGTTTTTTATGTGACTGTGAGAAATACAAAATACTTTTTTTATTTAAAAAAAAAGTATTTTTGTTTTCATTCAAGTCAACAGAATAATTTCGGGAAAGGGCACGATGAACTGGTTTTTTCAAGGGTTATTAAAGTGAGGGAGGATTTTTGGAAATTTTTTTTGTTTTTTTTTTCATTTAAAAAATTGGAAAATTCTGGACTTCTGTATTCAATGATTGTTAACAAAAATTCATGTTCGCATACAAAATTGGAATTTTTGTTTGAAACAATTTTTCAAAAAGTCAATGTGAGAGAGAGAGAGAGAATTCTGTGGCTGTTGTGCCTTCTGTCAATCAAGGGGTCGATTCTCAATTTCCATAGATTCACCCAGTGAGTAGAAGTTCGATGAAACTTCTCGGCCGGGCGGGACTTAAAATAGGCTCAAACAGAAGACATCACCGACACAGCAACGTTTTATAATCCTAAATTTTTCGAAATTCCAAAAACAGATCGTCTCTTCACTTCAAACTTTATCTAGAGTTACTCAAACGGAAACTTTGAACTTCCGCATTAAATTGTTTTCACACGAATTCAATATTCACATACAAAATTAAATTGATTTCAAAAAATAACAAATTGATTTTCTATTAAATATAATTTCTCGTCATCTGGTCATGAAAATTTTAAACAAACAATTCCAAATTTTAAAAAGAAAACGTATGGATAATTGTCAACTTTTGTTTTCAAACTTTTGTTTGAAACACAATTTGTGAATGAAAATAGAGAACATATTTGACTCAATACTGTATTTAGTTCAAAAAGATGCAAACTATGTAAGTGGTAGTTGTATCGTAAATCATAGTTTTTGTGTGTAGAATATTCAAATTCACTCAATTATCATGTAAATAATTCGTCGTTAACCGTGGGAACATTTATTCAACAATTATTCTTTACGACAATAAAAATTTACAATGCCAACATATAGTTTATGCAACGGGCACAAAAAAGTAGCAGAAAACATGAAAAAATATTTTCGAATTAAGAATACATATCGGTTAAGAAGTTATAGAAACCAGGTTGATTTTAAGGCTACATATTGATCTTGATGCTGGATCCGGTCTTCAACAATTCCCTTGTTTACTGTAATTAGTTTCAAAAAAAAATTTTGAAATCATATCGTTTTCGAGCATGGTCCATCATAATTGTTCATCTAAAATAATCTGATAATTTAACTTGGTTGAAATCTCTCCCGCCTTCAAAATGGCTTGAACAGCCCAAAACCGAAAACATTTCACAATTCGGAATAGAGTGTTTCAAATAAAAATTTGGTTGATAAATATTTTATTATTGAAAAAGAGCAACAAAATCATCAAAAAATCATTGGTGTTGCGGTTGGCGAAGCAGGCGATGTTGTACCAGACAAATTTCTGGTTGCTTGAACAGAACCATAATAAATATCTGAATGAAAATTTAAAAAATCTGAATTTGAGTTTCTCGATAATAAAAAAACATACTTCCTGATGTAACAATTGTTTGTGTGTATTTGACAAAAATGCTTGCAGTAGAACTTTGGAAGGATGATGAGATTGAAGATGGGCTATTTTCTGGTTTAAGACTAAAATAAAATTATTTTAAAGAATGCTTGTTGAAACATACATGGCAAGAACTGTAGCTTTTTCATCAATTCCGTCATAAATTGTTAGAATTGCAGTGGGATCAACTATAGTGTTCCAAGTTATGGAAACGTTCTAGAAATACAAGATAATTTATTTGAAAGTTTTTTTTTCAAAAAATTACATTCCATCCTAGCGCATCATTACCACTGTAGGCAATGAATCCACAAGGCGTCGTATAACAAGGTTGGAAATTGGTTGTGTCAAATGCATTGTTTACTGAAACACTTCTACCAGATGCTACAGTATTTTGGAAACATTGACAATCCGATTGAACTCCTATAAAAATATACGATTAATAATGAGAGTCGATAGTTTAATTTAAAAATACCAGTAGTGAAAATAAGTAGAAGAAGTATTCCAGTTTTGAACATTTTTCTGAAAAAAAATGTAGTGATTGAGAAAAAGTAAAGAAAAACAGTTTGAAAAGGGTGGAGACCGAAAATGCTTATCTTTTTTGAAGAATTTTCCATGTGCTCTCAATTTGGCAATTCTTTGTTGATATTATTATTATTTTGATAAAAGTTATTTTTGAATCAGGAAGAAATGTGATGTTTTTATGCATATTAAAACGAGATTAGTAATTTTTTTCTCAAAACCTTTGGCAATTTTCAAAATTACTTTTATTTTCAAAAGATATTAGAAAATTATCACTCAATTAGACAATTAATGGCGATGCAGTTTTTGTTGTCGGCAATGAACCTGAAGCTTGAACGGTACCATAATACGTATCTGAATAAAAATTGATTGATCAAAAATTTTCAATTATCAATTTACTTCCTGATGTAATTGTTTGTGTGTATTTTATATAAATAACTTCTGTAGAACTTTGGAAGGTTGCGGCGACGGAAGATGGGCTTCTTGGTGGTTTAACGCTGCAACTACAGTATTTTTTTTTGGAAAATGTAAGGAACATACGTAGCAATGAGTGGAGCTGTGTCATCAACTCCGTCATAAATTGTCAGATTTCCAGTGGGATCTTGAATATTGACCCAACTTATTGAAACGCTCTGAAAATAAACAATAATTGTTATATAATTTTTTCAACCAACTTACATTCCATCCTACAGTATCAGCGCCACTGTTGGCGGCAAATCCACATGGCAGCGTGTAACAAGAATCAAAAGTGTTTGCATCGAATGCGTTGGATACTGTAGCAGTTTTACCAGTTGTTGGATAATTTTGGTAGCATTCACAATATGATTCTACTCCTATAAATGAAACAGTGATTATCAAATTCAAACATTTGATTTAAAATACCAGTTGTTAGAATAAGTAGAAGAAGTATCATAATTCTAAACATTGTTCTGAAAAATAGTATTAAAGGTTTTGAAAAGTTTTGAAACAACTTCGAATGAATGGAAACTAGAAATTCTTATCTTTTGATGATTTTTCGTATTTTTATGAATTGCTCCAAAGTTCGCACAAACATTTATTATCTAATGTCATGGTTTTGATAAAGGAAGAAGTGTGATGATTTAATATTGTAATGAGATTATTGATGTTTGGAAATCTCTTTATTTCTTATTTCAAAAACATTATCTTGCAAAAAAAACAATCAGAAAATTTATAACAGTTTAGTAATTCATTATTGACAATCAATTCTGCTTTATTGTCGGCAATGAACCTCCAGCTTGAATTGTACCATAATAACTATCTAAATGAAAATTGGTTAATCAAAAATCCTTGATGGACAATCTACATACTTCCTGCTGTAATAATTGTTTGCGTATATTTAATATAAATGGTTTCTGTAGAACTTTGGAAGGATGTAGTGGTTGAAGATGATTTGCTTGGGGATTGAACACTAAAAAATACAATATTTCACAGGAAAATGTATAAAACATACGTAGCAATAACTGGTGATTTTTCATCAACTCCATCATAAATAGTTATATTTCCAGTGGGATCATAAATATTGACCCAACTTATTGAAACGCTCTAAAAATCAACAATTATTATTTTGAAAGTTTGTTTGATCAATTTACATTCCATCCTACATTATTGTCACCACTGTTAGCGACAAATGCACATGGCGACTTGTAGCAAGATTCAAAAGTGTTTGCGTCGAATGCGTTGGAAACTTCAACAATTTTACCAGTTGTTGGAAAATTCTGATAACATTTACAAGAAGATTTTATTCCTATAAATAAAAAAATTGATGATCAAAGTGAAACATATAATTTTAAAATATTACCATTGGTGAAAATAAGTAGAAGAAGGATCCCAGTTTTGAACATTGGTCTGAAAAAAAATTATAATGGCTTTGAGAAATTTTGAAACAAGTGAGAATGATTGAAAACTAGAAATGCTTATCTTTTATATTTAATTTTCTAATGACTTTTTGATCTTCTGATGATTTGCTCGTAGCTTCACACAAACAATTATTATCTAATTTCATGATTTTGATAGAGGAAGAAGTGTGATGTTTCTTTGTGATTTTTATTAATACAAAAATTAGACCAAAAGACCAAGTTAAGTATATTTTGAGTAAACAACTTCTGAAAAATTTCCATAAATAACTAATTGCTTTTGGTGTGTTGAGAACAAACCTAATAGTCTGTATTCGTGCAGATATTTTTGAAATAAACATTGAAGAGTTTGAAAAAATGTGTGTTTTGCCATCCTGAATACAGAAAAACTTCAAATACCTCTTATTCTCAAAAATTATAAGTTATTGTTTAGATTATTGCGAATTCTATTGAGTTTCCCAATTTCAACACTTTATCCATTCAAGCCCCACAAAAAGCAGCAAAAATAAGTAGCAAAAACATATTTATAAAAAATTAAGGTTCTTCAAAAGAATACCATCGCGCTTGAGATTTCTCTTCCCGAATGATTGCTCTCCATAAATCTTTACATCTGAAAAATTTCAAACTTCAATAACCATCATCTTGAAAGGAAAACTCACTTGCTCAATGGAACTTGCATTCTAGCAATTGTTCTTGATGCAATTCCAAACGTTCCAGTTTCGGTTATCAACTAAAAATATCGATTTTTATTGGATAATAATTTTTAGAATTAAATGTACCTCAACAGCCAATAAAACATCACACAAGGTATGTTTTGGAATTGTGAAAGTCAAACATTCGTTATATTGCACAGATCTTTGAAGTTTTTTCGAACTGGTTTTCTTTTTCTTCAATGTTTTTTCACCACCACTGAGTAAAGTTACACGAAGAGCAATGTCTAAAATAACATTTTTTTAATGGATTTTGATATTGATTTTAGAGTTAGACTAACTTCCTTCTTTTTCATTCCGACATCGAATGTTACGAACTTTGAAAATGTTCATGGAAAGCCGTTGAGCATGTGATAAATAAGCAAGAGAGAACAAAACTTCTCCGAAACCTTTCTGAAATTCAACAAATTTTTTAAAAAAATTTTTCAAATGTTCAAATAATCCCTCTGGAAATTTTTTTAAGTCATTATTTTTAGATCGCATGCGGAACTCGAAAATCTGACCAATAATGTTTTATTCACATTCAGAAATGATATGATGTTTTGAATTATTCATCATTAGATGTTTAGTTTTTTTTCCAAGCAAAGATTGAGAGTCAAAATGTTGCCGATGAATTATCGCTAAACACAATTTTGTTATCTGAATTTGCGTCACTAAAAACATATTAACCAGTTTAGTGTACTTTCGAAATAAAAAAGTTTTCGGTAATTCTTTACAATAGAAAATTAAAATTTTCAAGTACAGCAGCTATGCATGAAATATGATTCTCCAACACTATTATCTTTCGAATAGAAAATTTTATTGTTTTAATGTTACTCACACTTTCCCCATCTTCATATGGCAAAACCTCCGCCCAAAATGTAGTTGGTGTGTCATGCTCAAATTGTTCATTAATTCTTCCAAGTGTTAACCAACAATATCCAACACATTCATCAACACTGAATTGATCATAATCATAAACCATAACTTCCAAACGACAAGTGCTCAATTGCTGTGCAGTGACCTGCAGAAATTTCGATTATGGGAAGAAATTAGAAAAAAAAGGGTTTCATACCGGAAAATAAAAATCTTCATTGATTTGTGGAGATGACGTTGACATATATGTTTTAGTTTGATGTTCAACATTTGGTTTTTTGGATTCTGGAATTTCTAGCGAGACTTTCATAAATGGATTTGGTTGATCATCTTCTCTCCGAGTTGGTAGATCAAGTCCTTGTTTGACACTGACAGTAAGCAAATTGAGATTGACGTCGTGGCTAACACTGAGTTGGAGAGATCCTGATGTTGTCATAGTCACTGAACTGCACGCTGATTCATCGCCCATTTGGGTCTGAAAAATTTTTGGTTGTAAAATTTTATCCAACAAATGTTCCGTGTTTTTTCAACGGTGGTATGATTTTTATCAAGTGAATATTTTCCTGTGCGAAAATATATTTCCACCTATCCTTGTTTTGAACTTCTAAATATAGAACCCCTCTTCACATTTTCTATTCTTTCTCATTATGTTCTAGCCTAAATTCAATTTTCCCATCTTTATATAAAGATAAGTTTTCATTCGTATAGTTACCGGAAATTGGTATAATCCACGATCAAATTGATTCTGATGCAAATTTGAGAACATACTCCTCGGGCCCTTTTTCGCTTTTGGAATCATGAATAAATTTGACAAATCTCCTTTTGGTATCGGTGAATCTCGGAAACATTCCAGAAGTGTTGGTTTTCTAAAAACACATGTTGTACTTGCATATTCATTTGAAAAAAAGTAAGGAACTAACGTGTCAAATGGTGTTGTTTCTTCAGTGTTTGTTCGATTGAAAGATGTGCATCGAACATGTAATGGTGAAGATCCCATTTCCAGAACATTTTGTTCATACCTAAACAAAATAGTGTTTTTCAGAGAATGGAGTTTGGGTTTTTTAACCTACCAATTTAGCTGTTTCTGAGTTTTCATCAGAAGCGATGCGACAATAACGACAACAATTATTACGGTGGCGCATAGTATGATGAGGAAGGACTGGAAAATCACAGAGTAGAGAAATGGAAGTCAGAAAACTTTTTATTTTGCTTGAAATAAAAAAAAATGTTTTATTTTCTCAATTAGAAAAAAAAATCTTCGGGGGAAATTTAATTTTCAGAATGATCCCAAGAATTCGCATTCTGTGATGTTTTCGAAAAAAAAGAATCCAGAAACCTGTACTTTTATTTTTCCTTGTTCAAAATTTCAAAAAAACAAAAAAGTCCCGAAAAAACTCACTTCTTGACTAGTAACTAAATTGTCGAAAACGTCATAAATGTTCATAACCCTGCAAAAAATAAATGAAAAACCAGAAAAAAGTGTGTAGTAAAACAAAACAAAAAAAGGTTCCGCCTATTGTGAAAACAATTTCTCACGAACGGAACAACGAAATGAAGATTTTCAGAAAGCTTAAAAAATATGTGGATGTTAGTCTATAATGTGTTAATCTATATGTTAACGAGTGCAAAACAAGGATAGAAAAATAAGGACAAAAGAAATGGAATAAAAAGGGCATATGAAAAAAAAACGAAGAGGATTGGAAAAAACTAGTAATTTATATTGGATGATGGAAACAGCCAACAAAAATGAGGAGTAAATGGAATGGATAGGCTAAAAAAGCATAATAAGAAAGAAATGGAGCCATTTGGTGTGAATAATTGTATGAAGAAGAAGAAGAAAAAAGTAATATGACTTTTAAATTTTATTTGTGCCTTCTCCTCCACAAAAAATTTTAGAAATGAGTAGGGTAAATAGATATACAGCAACAGCGATTTTTTTGGAGGAATGACGAGTCGAGATTCTTGACTCAATAAATATTTAAAAATTCTATGTATATGTTCGCATACATAGAAAGTAGTATATAATAACTTCGCTATAGTTTAAGAAAAAACAACAAGAAAAAAATAATGAGAGAAAAGCGTATTTGTTTCAGCTGCCTTTGACCACCACCTCCTTCAATGACCAGAATAAAGAAAAAAACACAAAAAAGAGCAGGTGAGATTTCGGAAATCATAACAAAGATAATCCTTCGTATAGTTAGATGTACATTCTTTTTCGTGAAAACAGACTCAGACCCAAAAAAAATCGTAGTAGTAGTATGAGTTTTTTTTTTGAATTAGGGTAAATTGATGGCTCCTATTTTATTTTTTGTCATATTTTTCTGGATGTGAAGAAATTTGAGAGTTATGTACATATATATGTTAGATAATAGTAATAATAATAATTCAAAAAGAAAAAAAGACCAAGCAAGCAATAACACAAGGCGGAAACAACTTTTTGATTATAAATTCTCGAAAAAAAACAGATCAAATTATCGTTGTTTTTTCTCTCTCTCTCCATTTTTTTTTGTTCCGGGGAGAAATTTTGAATTTTTCAAACTTTGCTCTGGAAAAAGGAGCAGAGAGAGTGAGAGGCCAGGGTGCACTTTTTTAGAATACCTAATTTTTCAAATGCATAAATTATGTACTTATTGCGTTAGATACTTTGAACAATGAAAAAAGTTTCATCTTTTAATTGTCTAGAGACTGAAATTCGATGAGTAATTTGATCAGAATAATTTTACAGAAATTTAATATTAAAAATTTTCGAAATTTTTTATGCTCAACTTTTAAGATCATAAGAGCCAGACAGTATGAATCACGAACAGTAGCGTCAAAAAAAGTCATTTGTCACAAACTTAGACATCCTGATTATCAAGGTGCTACAAAGCCATTTCAGAGAATTTTCATATAGCTTTTCAACAAAAAAGTTTCATATTTCTCAAAAGCCTGAATTTTATTAGTAAGTAACAGGAAACTAGAAAATATTCGAATTTTATGTTAGGCTGGAAATTATGAAAAAAAGGAAGTTTCAAAGTTTTTTTGGTAAACAACTTGAAACCGGTGTTGGCTGAAAATTCCCAGAAAACTTTTGATCTATGAACAAAAACAAATTCTGGACGCTGAAAATAGAAATAAGAATTATATCACCTCTGAAGTTATACCCCTTTATTAGAGAAAATTATTATAAGTGTCTAGAATTTTGGAGAAAAATAATAGATGGGCGGTTTGAAAATTTAAAAGTGCATTCACAAAATACATGTGTCCTGAGCACAGTTCTCAAATTTCGCACACACACGATTTTAAGCTTTTCTTGAGACGCATATGTTTTGATCTACGGAAAAAAATTATTGAGTTACAGTTAGGAGAATAATTGTGTTCTACCAGAGAAACATAGGAGACCTGGAGAGTAAATCACACATGCTGATGTAAATGTTTCCCACAAACAAAACTAATAAAATAAAGTCATGAGAACTTACAAGTACACATAGGTTAACTTTCAAAATTCTCACGATCAAAAAATGAATATTTTCCTCTTCCTGCTCCACATATCTATATATAAATATATATAGCAATTTGCCTGTCCATAACCTATTGTTCATTCAACTTGAATGTGTGTCAAAAAATTAATTGGAATGTTGCACGAATTCCAAGAAAAAATGACGAAGTACAGTAACCCATAAAATGTTTATTCTAGATGTTTTTTATTTGAATTTTTTTATTATCGTGTTACCAAGGCAAACAAAAAAATCTGAAAACTCTAACTAACTCAAAGAATGTTTTGTTTCTTTGCGGAGAAAACATTGGAAAATAAACAAAACCAATCTGATTATCTTTGAGAAGAAAACATGGAATAATTGAATAAACTAATGAAAAAGAAATAATAAAAAATAGAAAAATCGTATTAGTTAGAAAAACAGAGGCATTTTTTGGCTCCACAGAACTAAAACTGAACTATTGTCTTTCCATATTTTCTCATTTCTATTTCTAAATTTTTGGCTCTCTCTCTCTCTCTTCTTTTTGATGCATGAATATTGTTTTTTGGACAAAAAACAAATTGCAAAATGAAAATTAATCCAAAAAATATATAATCTTGATAGAAACCCTGGAAAGTGCTTTCTGAAAATTCATTAATAATTTATGACTAACATAAATAAGTTTCAAGAAAAAACAGAAAACAAAAAGGATATTAGAAATTAAGAAAAAAGAAAGAAAGAAATAAAGAACTATGCTGAAAATGAGGCAACTGAAATAAAAAGCTTTGCATATTTTACGCGTCATTAAAATCGTATCGTCGTGGGAGGTAGCAATGAAAATGACGATCAATGTGTTTCAAAAAATGAAGACTTATTTTTTAATTTTTGAACTCATTTCGTGAGGTTTTGATTTCAATTTTGGTTTCTTGAAACATGTCATGTGATGAGAAATTGAAATTTTGACAATTGAAAAAAAACATAAGGAAAAGATGAAAATTGAATGTAGGGATCATCTCGGATCAAAAATTAGGGATGAATAAGAAATAACAATTTATTTGAGAGAGATCATGTTTTTCTGGAAGTGATGTTTTCAAGAGGAAATTAGAATTGGAAAATAACTGGAGAAAGAACACTAATTTAGCACCAAAGAGAATTGAACGCCGTTCATCGCCCAAGTATATTTCAGAACAGAGAGCAAGAAAATCGTTAATTTTTCAAAAAAAATTTTTTTTCAAAAATTCTAACATCACAAAACATAGACTGATTTTCAGAACTGTCATTCTCAGACGACTCCGAAAAAAGAATCCAAAATATCCTGGTTCAAAGACCAATAAAACTTTGATGTAGAAGTCGCAAATTTTCAAAATTAATAATTAAAAAACTGTTTTGAAGTTCTACAGACACCAGACAAAATTAAGTGACGTGAGAAAAAAAATAAGTACAGGAAATTGTCTTCCAAAAAAGTAACTGTACTCTAAATTTCCTGTCTATGGACAGATTGGAAATTCCAACCACGTCACACGTTTTTATTTTTATCTAGGAGATTGTGAACAACTTTGGAAAATTGAAAACATTCAAGTTAGATTCAACGTTTTCTGGAAAATAGTATTTTTTCCAGATATTTAGAAAAAATATATTTTTTGTGATGTCTGGAATTTTTTTGTAGAGTGAACTCTGCTGGCTTCTAGGGTTCAGTATGTCTGGATACAAATATTTTATAACAATTTTCTCTCTTGAGAATCTGAACTAATGTGAAGTTAATGACAAAAATTATGATTTTTTGTTAAATATTCTGAATCTTAACAATTTTCCAAAAAAGAAAAGATGGAATACTCACAGTTTTTTTTTAAATTATAAAACACATTCTTTCAAGGAGAAAATATTATCAAAATATAGTAAATTTTTGTAAGCCATTGATTGAAAAAATTGACATTTTTAAACTCACGATCCTTTTTGAATTCCAGTAGTATTCCAAATCTGCCAATCTCGATTCAACCCAAAAAAAATAAAATGCAAAGTCCTAACGACTTTATGAAAAATGGGCGGAGTTATTTTTTTTATATATTCCTAGAATTCGTAGAACAGTAGTTATTTCTAACATGATTTCATATCTGCACGAAAAGTACTAACATCTCGTGATTTAAAATCCTTAAGTTAGGAAAAATAACCGTATGCAGGAAAAAAAATGTTTTTTTCAAGATTATCCTCGTGGGTGTCACGATACGAAAATAGTTATTTTTGGTATATGAAAAAATTAGCTATACAAATTTTAGTCTATTTTTTTGATGATGAAAAATAGCTAATTACATAACAAGAGTTATTCGAAAAAAATTCATTTTCCACAATTTACACCGTAAGTTTCATAGAAATAAGAAGAAAACATATATAACAAACAAGAAGAGAATACCCAAAATGAGAAGAAATATGGATGAAGAAATAGATTTTTGGCGCTATGAGTACAAAAATTGTCAAAATTCATATGACCCTCTTTTTTGACCAGAAATTTGAAATTATTCGCGAACAAAAATTATGGATGCTTTTATAATACAATTGACCCTATTTGGAGTGACAACAACAAAATGAACAATTCTTCGTGACGAAACCCGAACCCATATACAGTAGGAAAAAAAAGAGATAGAAAACAAATAAAATGAAAACGAGGAGAAATCAGAAACCCTGATGTGTTTCAGCCAATTCAAGAAAAGAGAAGGAAAAACAAATAAAACTACAATAAAATGTCTAGAAAAATAATTGATTTATGCCTTTTTCTTTTCTTGCTCTTCACTTGGCTCTTCTTCATCTTGATTGTCTTCAGGAATATCTGGATTGTGATATTCAGTGATGAGAACTTGATCAGCTGGTGTTTTCTCAAAACAATCAGCAAGATATGACATTACTGAAAAATCAATATAATATTATTTGAAACGTAAAAAAAAACAACAAAAAACCAACATTTTCCAAGCCTCCTTTCAATTGCTGGATAGTGTTTGTAGGCAAGAATTGGATGTGCTGGATCTTTTGACATTGATCTGCAATGAAAAATATATTTGATTGAGGTTCCTCATTGGTCCTTGGGGAATGACAAATAATCTTTTCATGGAATCTTAAAAGTGCTTCGGATGTTTTCTAGAACAATTTTAATTGGAAGCAAGTGTTTTCCTGAAATTATTTTATTCGGGATACAGAGAAAAGTGCTGAAATTGTTGATATGATTCATCAAGCCCGCTGCCGAAAATGTTTCCGTACTTTTTGGATATTCCGGTTTAAAAAAATCTTTGTGATTAAAATTACAGGAGAAACCTAGTTATCAAAATTCAAATAATTCAAACTCACTCATGAAGCGTTTTCGACAACGATTTTGGATTGCTATAAAATTGAATTAGTGTTTTATAAGTCGATGGTCGAATTACACAACACTGCCTCAATGGTAATAAAATATCATCATCATCCCAATCCGATCTACCAAATCTATAAAAAACAAAAATTCACTTTTAATTTATACGACAAAAAAAACATACGCTCTTCCATGATCTAAATGAATTGCATAAGATGGTAGACTTGTGAAAACATCGAATGATTCAAAATGATGTCGATCTTGATTTCCTATCAAATAATCAAGGATATGCAAATCAACAAGATCTAATAATCGTCTTCCATGGGAATATAATTTCTTGGTCTTCACCTTTTCCTTACAATAATTCATATCAGTTTGCCATTCAGCTAATTGATTTTTCTTCGAGTATGTTCTACGATATGGACTACGATTATGTTTCCTTGGAACTGCTGATTCGTCGGGTAAAAATACTTGAACACTTCCCTCTTTCAAATCAGGATACCCGCAAATTGCATGTGTTGTATCACAATAATAATCACATCTTGAAACAAAACAAAAATTCTTGGCTGGCGAATAGAAAAATGTTTTCTTCAACTTTTTCTCAGCTTTATCGAAAAGTTCTGTTGTCATATTAAGAATTCTTCCAACAGTTGGAACAGCTCTTCGAAATCCTAAAACTCTATCGAGATGAAAAGTGGCGATTTCAGCTTGATGTCTTTCAAAATCACTGAAATAGAAATGATTTGGATCCGATTCATAATCTCTTCCAAATCTCATTGGTTTGAAAACGGCTTGTTTTTCATTTTCAAATGTGAAGACAAACTTGACTTGCGTTCCACCATCCATAATATGCACATGTTTTATTGGCATTTTGTTCAGATCTTCCAATAATTTGTCAATCACTTGATCATCTGAATACATTGAACAACTTCCGATGTTTGAATAGAATTTCTCCCAACTGTCGTTTTCAGGAACTGTTCGTCTGAAATATTAGAGATAATGAGACTGTTTTTGTTGAAAAAATGCGAGACTTTTAGAAGTTCCGACAAGCTTCAAATCAAAAACACATATGTTCGAAACTAATTTCCATTATTTCAAAATTCATTCATTCCGGAAATTTTCATGTTTTTTGAACCCTGTGCAAGTTAATACTTCTATGCCATATCCCCCTCCCCAAAAAAGGTTTTAAGTTACAAACAAACAAAACTCACTTTTCAGTCGATTGCCAAAAATCAGAAAGTGTCACATTTTGTCGACACTCGTTTTTCAATTTCGCATCCAAATCTTGGTTTTTCGTCAAACTATACAGTTGTTTCAATAATATTCGATTTGAAGCAACTTCGAAGTCTGAAAAATTTATATTTATTTATATTTTTTGAGTTGTTTTCATAGCAACATTTCTCAAACATAGATCCCGAAATTCAAAAAGTCCCAATTTCATAAGAGAAAAAATTACCAAATGGATCTTTGAATGCTGATCGATCTAAACTTGGTGGAATCGGTTGTTTTGGTAACTGTTGTTGACCGTGTGGATTTTGTGATATCCTTTCATTTTCCGAAGTTTTTGCTTCTCTCGATTGTGGTGTTTGTTCCCATTCTCCTAAAATTGAAAGAAATGTTTTTTTTTTCAGAATTTCTTCTTTTTGTTTGCATGAATCAGATTTTTTTCTCGTAATGGAATGAATAGAAAAAGGAAAAATGTCTTTATGACACATAATTCGTTCGTATTGAAAAAAAAGTGGCGCGTATAGAAGAATACGGTAGTGTTTATTGAATATGTTTTTAATTGAATTACGAATTTTAATTGGAAATTAGATAGGCTGAAGAAACTCACGTCCGAAATTATCCTTTGGCAATGACAAAATCACCAAGGTCGTTGCAAATACAAAAAACGCCAAAGTGAATAATTTTCTGATGTTGCACCGCATTTCAAATTATCCTATCCTATTTTCTCACATCAAATCATCCGTAAAACTAATTATTTCTTCTTTCTGAAAAATAGGCTTTTATTTTTAAAAATTTTCAAATTCAAACACAAAAATGAAAAAGAGCCAGGAAGAATGGAGAGAATATAAGTGCATGTAAATGTAATACGACAAAAACAAACACAAACAAAGGTGCCGAAAAATATATCCAATTTCTTTTTTTTTTCTGCCTTTATGGTAGAAAAATGGAAAGCTTGGGAGAAGTATGTAATTTATAAATGAATAAGGAGAGAATTGGGTGAATAAAAGAATAAAACGGAACAGGATTCAGAAGAAATGAAATAGGATTCAGGAAACAAAAAATTGATGGATTTAGGAAGTTGGGATCCGATTTTGGCTTGATTTTTGTTGACTTATTGTTTGGTCAGGAATTTGAGAGAAAACATCTTGGATTTTTTGAGAAAATAATCAAAAAAATGAAAAAAAAAATTAGAGTTTTTTAGAGCTTAGTATCAGATTCGTTGTAGGTTTGATCAAATTTTTAGAGCTCTGGTCTCTAACAAACAAAAAAGTCTCAAAAAGTGCAAAACCCAGAAAAATTGCTGCTAATTTTTTTCGAAACATTTTTGACGTTCTCTTTTTCGCTATTTTTTCCGAAAATCTCGAAATTCTTTACCAAAAAAAATCCAAAAAAGTCAAGCATACAAAAATGAAGAGAATCTTCAGCCATGCAAAATATATAAAATTGTACAAAGAAAGGAAGAGACAGCAAAAAAAAACGTCGATGAATAATATGTATTATAATTATAATGTAAATAATAAAAATGCATCGATTTCTCCTTGATTTGAATCAAGAAAGAAGAAATCAGAGTTCTTCTTGTCAAGAGAAAAACAGGAAAAATGTATACAATGTTTATGTCGGGATGATAAAAACGATCAGATTGAGCAAACATACATGAGGATTTTTAGAAAAAAATTGTTTTGTCCAAAAAACATCCCTAGTGATTTTTTACGATTGATCACACAAAACAATTTCTGACAAGGGGCGGAGCTTGTGCAATTTCTTTTACAACCTATTTTGGGATGGATACCCACCAAAACTTGCTCAAGTCAAAGTTGAAAAACCTTGAGTTAGCAGGCAGAGTAAAAAATAAATTCATTTAGTTCAACGATTGATATTTGCACAGTTCGGTAAATATAATAAAGTAGAGAACGGTATTTGATGAGAGAATTGGTAGACAAAAAGTAAAAACGTTGAAAAAAAAAGATTCCAAACGTTTGAAACGGTGAGTGATTATTGGAGGATGCTTGAAAAACTTTGGCAAAAAACATATTGAATGAATGAATGGATAGAAGGATAAGTAAACTTTTTCTGAAGATGGGATAACTGGGAAAAGAGGCGGTGTCTTTTGAAGGATAAAAATTGGGAATGGGTTGGAGCCAGGTTTTTAAAATATTTTTTATGCTAGAAAAATATATAATCCAACTTCGAATTTAAAATTAATTAGACAATGAGAACGTCAACTATTCAAATGGATCTGATTTCCTTGTACAAACTCAAAAAAGTGTTTCACAAAAACTACAAAAAATATTTACATATTTGCAACAACAAAGCTTTCCCACCACTCCACACCCAGAAAAAAGTCAAAACGTCATTGGCGCCAAAAACAAACAGCACCACCCAAGATTTCCCATCAATCATTATTCAAAAAAGATAATATTGAACTTGATCAAATAAGAAAATACTAGAAGGGTGAGCATTTCGAGAGCACTATTGAATATCCTAAACAAATATATTTTTTCAGTCTAGATTGATATCTCATCAAAATACAAGAGCAACATAATTTCAGTTCTTACAAAAGTTGTTCAAAATAAATAGAAAGAAACACTATTTTCAAGTATCTGTATTTGCTTTGAAAAGGTGTGAAAAACCGGGCGGCGTACTTATTGACATGAACTTTTTGATGATATACTTGAAGTTGCAACGGATTTTTCAATTGACCAATTGGACTTTTTTGGTGAAGAAAAAGGGAAGTAGAAAGAATTTTTGGAAAAAAACTGACATCAATTGAAATTGGATTTTTTTGTAAAGATTTAAAGTAGAGAATGAAAAAGATACAGATGAAAATGAAAGAGGAAAAAACACCTGGATATTTTGAAATCGGAAAAAAAATGTGGGGCAATTTCATAGATCACGTGGTTTTTGAGTACGAGAATTCGGGGAAAGGAAATGTGAGAAATCAAAATGAAAAGACTACAGAAGAAATTTGAAGGAAAAACTAATCGAAAGAATTCAGAAATACCGCTTTCAAAAAAAATCATGGTTCAAATAAAATTGTTTTAAAATTCACTAGGTACTCAAACAAACTTATAATATGAACATAAATTCAGAAAAATTCTAGTTAGTAACATAAACCTTCTCGACTTTTTAACAAATAATTATAAGCCATAATCTTAATTTCCTCTCATTTCCTTTTTCTAAAATGTTTTTTCAATCATAAATTTCAAAAAGTGCGAAAAAACGAGATAATTATAGACTCTACTCATTCTAAAACACACACCTTTTATTTTTTCTAATGATATCAAATAAAAATAAAAACATTTTGCAGCAACAAGATGTTATTTATCAACAAAAAAACAACATGCGTCAAAAAAAAAACACAAGACATCAGAGTGAAAATCAATAAGTGATAAGAGAGAACAGAGAAAAAATAGAATACACTAATAACAAAAAATAAAAATATTATTATTAATAATATAATAATCATGTAAATGAGTGTGTGTTACTTACTTCATCTTTTCCGTTAGGTTTTTTATGAATACATAATAAATGCATTTCTGTTAGTTCATTTTATTTTATTTCTATTTCTATTCGAGTAAAAGCGCACTTTTAAATGCAAATATGTTCGGTATTTTTCAAGACAAGAAAAAAAGCCGCATATGATTTACAATGTGCTTTCACTATATATGTCAAAATAGTAGTAGTCTTTGCGGTATAGTTTTAATTGGATATGATTTATTAGGGGAGTTTTTGGTAAATATTTACCTTTTGGGAAGTTTTTGGCTGCTCGGCTTGGAGAAAACAAAAACTGTGGCAAATAAAAAATAGTGTTTTTTTCAGTGATTGAAAAATTCATTGATGATATTTATGCCTTCTGATGTGTCAAAAAATTCAGGTTATATCAATTTCCTTATCAATGAAGCATAAAAGATCATGCAAAAAATCTGCTAGCTAGCAAGAATTTGTTTCATAAAACATGAAAAAAAAACATAAATCATTGAATGTCCTTGATAGTACAACTTATCCCACCTAGAAAAATCAATAATGAAATTTTTTCGAAATAAAAAAAGAGCTTGAAGAAAACAATGAGGTACGTAAACCTAGAAGGCGAATAAAGAAATAAATAAAACAACTCGTAGAAGAAGGCAATTACCGAAAAATGTTTTGTACCAAAAAGAGAATGAACTAGGGAGGCAGGGACAAAAAGGATTTCGTTTCACAAAAAACTTTGAAAATGAATGAATTTTATTCCAGACATGATCAAAATTTTTGGTAGCAAGCGAGCTTTTTGATCTGATTGTTTCGGTGGTCAGATTTACACATGTTTTGTAACGTAATAGTTGCTTGCTTTTAACATAAGCTGGTTTTGGATTATGTCAAAGTTGTGGAACAATTTTTTTGTGGGTTAATAGGAATAATGTGTTTGTGATCGAGGTTTTTTGACAGAGAAAATAAGTGATTTCCAGGAAAAATCTGATGTATTTAAGGTACCTGAAATTCTTGGAACCGAACAAATCTTTCAAAAATTTATTTAGTTCTGAGTTCTTAAGAAAAATATATATTTAAAGAAAAATAGAACTTCATTTTCAGACAAAAGTTGAGTTTTGCGTTCTAGATTTTCTGATAAATACAAAAAAATCAGCTGCCTTTTAGCAAGTGGAAAAAAATTCACTATCCATAACATTTGAGTTAAAAATGTATGAGCTCTAAAAGTTCATGAGAATATTTTCATCTTCAATAATGGCATGATTTTCAAAATGAAGTACAATAGCACTTATTCATTCTACTCTATTCAAAAATACTAACAGAACAGTTGAATGAAAAATTTCAAAACAACGAAAAAAAATCTCACATTCAGTTAGAAACACCTCGTCAATGCAGAAAACATAGACATACACATTTTTCATGTCACCATAAAGTGTATATTTGAAATTCAGAAAATAGTAATTTGAAACGTTCTCCTTCTCTTTTTCTTCTTTCATTCATGAAGAAAAAACAAAAATCTCTTCAAACACCCCATAATTTATTCATTGAATCAAAGGATGCAACTTAAACGCAAAAAATAATTTTTTTACCTTATGAAAACTAAATAACAAATAAAAATATCAAAAAATCGATATAATATGATAATTGGTGAAGAAGGCGGATTTTTATGGATATAAAATAACATATAATGTGAAAACAGGGAAAAGTAAAAGGGATGAGAATCGAGGCGAAACGATTCCCTTTTTTCTGTTCTGGGTATCGGAAAAAAACAGGAGAAAGAAAAATAACCAGTTAGGGAAGAATAAAATGATGATGATGATGCCTTTTACTTACTATGACTGTGAAAAAACTGACTGTTTCATACAGACATCGCCAACGGCAAAATGTCCCTTTCTCTCTTTCTCTGTCTCTCGCAATCTCTAGTTTTATACAAGTACTATTGTTGTTCACTAATCCTATTCTGTATTATTTTCGAAAAAAAACTTTGCTTGTTTCAATCGAAAAGTATCAATCAGCTGGTTTTTGACACCTTTTTTATGAACCAATCTTGGAAAGTCGTTTGAATGTGCATATAATTTTATGGGATTTGATTTGGAAGTGAAGAAAACAAAAGGTAGCCAAGGTTGAGAGTGGGGGTTTTACATGATTTTTAAGAGAAAACATGTCTTTGATTTGAGATGCATTTTCCAACTTTTATCACACGTCGTTAATTTTTGAACAATTCTTGTCATAACTTAAAAACTTTACGAATTGTTCAAGACAAGAACCAATTTTCATTAAGTATGGAGTTTTTAGTTTGATTTCAGAGAAAAACCCATAGGTTTTGTGAAAAAGCATTTCAAAAGTTCAAAGAAACATTTTCGAAAAAAGTTCAAAATAATTTTGGGGAGACAAATCGGGAAGCTTTGAAGTCTTCAAGAAGAGAACCGATTTTTCATAATTCGGGATGATTTTTAGTCTGAACTTTATCGACACTAATTCTTTTAATTTTTTCTGGAGTGAAATTGATGTTTGATGAATTTGAATCACAAAAATATGTTTCTCTTTTTTGCAACCTCAAAACATTACACATTGAATGGAACGTTTATTCAGATGTTTTTCATCAATCTGAAAAAAACCGAAATCATAAATAAACTTGTTCCATGAAAGTTTTCTCTGGATTTTCAGACAATTAAGTCTCTCATATTCAACGGTAAACCACATACTTGAAATGTGTTTTTTCTAATGTAAGAAAATAAGCCGTAAGCAATGATCAATTTAAAATTCAGAAAAAAAGTCCGAATGACAAAGAAACTAGATTTAGATTCAAACAATATTCTATTCAATTCTCACTTGAATAAACTTTTTTTATTTCAAAAAATCCATTGGACTTTTGGAAAAGAATAATCCTTCGGATTCTTTCCGGATCAACAAGAAATAGGATTAAAAATTCACATACAAATAGTATGTATGGTGTTTTACTATTTATCATCTGTAAAAAAGGGGGCGATGCAGAATGCAAAAAAAAATAATATTTGTGATGAATTTGAAATAAGACGTAAGAGCAAAAAAACACAATGGTGCGGTTTAACAGGTCATAAAAAATAAATGGGACATCAAAGCCAAGATGACACAAAAATATATATCTTACATTTAGCTAAGCCAAAGAAAAAAGATGTGCTCAATGTGCTCGAACAAATGTTTTCTTCGCCTCATTTTTCCTCCGTTCATTTTTTATACGTTTCATTTTATTAGCCTATTTTTTTCGCATTCAAGTTCACCTCATTGGATTTTACTTGTGGCATCTGGATGGAGCAGACACAAAAAGTTTAGTTTTGTTTCGAATTAACATTCTTTCCTTTTCTTGTCAGAAAAATGTATGAATACATAATCTTATTCTGACGAAGAACTGAAAAAGAATTGAGAAAAAAAAGAAAAAAATTGTGTTTCGTTCGGGAGAATGGTTTTGGAAGAAGGAAGAAAAAGAAAACATGATGCAGAATTTGATTTTCTCAAAACAAAAGCCTAATTTTATGTTCAAAAAATGCATATGTTTTCTATATTCTTATTGATATATGATTCAATTATTGGAAGTTTGAAGATGAAGAAGAAATATTATTTTTAGAATAAGCTAGCTTATTTCGAAACAAAAATGTTGGGTGATACTTGAGGCGTGTGAAAAAAGAAGAATATTTTTTTCTCCAACGCGAAAATAATTTTTTTTGTTCTTTTTTCTTTGCTGAAATTTTTTAATGTGACAATGAAAAGTAATTATATCTGAAAAGGGTCACAGTTTTTGTTTAGTTTCCATTAGTCATCTATTGTTTTTTGAAAAAAAAAATGAAATTACAAGAAAATTCTTGAAATTCGAAATTCTGCAAAAAACGCAAACAGAAGAAACATTGCGTGTTTGATGTAATGAAAAAATAAGAAGAACAACGAAAAAACATACACAATTTGAAAACGGAAAGACAGATTCGATTCCAGTTGGAGAAATGTATGTATGTTATCTTTTATTCTGTGAGAAACAAAAAAATTTGAAGAAAAGTGTCTCAAGTACTAATTGAAAATGAAATTGAGAAAAAAAAAACGATTTCTATTGACCTGGATAATATTGATTTTGGATTTTTTGGATTAGAGGTGATGGAAATCAGGGCATTGATAGAGAGTTCTGATTCCAAATAAGTTTAGTTTTTTGTGGAATGCCAATGGCCGTTTATAATAGAAATCAGGTTGATCTTCCCGTTTTTTCAATAAAGTTCATCAAATTTCAAGTTATCATGTTTTCTGAATCTGAAAAACGTGTATGAGCTATCACTCTTCAAAATATTGATGGAATTTTATAAGAGACAATTTTTTCAGAAAACAAATTTGATCATTTTCGATATTTGAAAATCGCGTAAGTGTTAAAACGAATATTTCATTATATTGATTGAAAATTCCGAACTCAAACATTTAGAGAAAATTTTAAAATTTGATTTGGATTAAACATTACGGTGTCTGACAAGCCAATCTTTTTGGAACTGGCTCAAAAATTAATAGTTATGAAAAAAAAAATATTTGAACAATTTTTTTAGTGATTTTCAGGTACCTTAGAAATAATCTGAAAAGTAATTTTTTGAGCTGAAACATCATACAGATCCAGACTCAGACAAACAAAAATAATTGCAAAAACATCGAAAAAATGATGTCTACTTTTCAAAAAACCTGCGTTTAATCTAATCTTTTCAATCTCTTCGTTTCACTCGAAAATTTATGAAAGAAAACGCAGAGGTTTCAATAAAAAGGACACAGGCAAAGACAAAAAAAGTGAGAAAATTTTGTTTTTCTCTACCAATGTATGTTTTCCCCTGATTGTCCAAGATAATAAATTCGATTAGATGTTTTTTTTTGTGTTGGTGGATGGGTGGGTGGAAAAATGATGAGACGCAGGAAATAGAACACACTAAATAATAATTTATTTTTATGTTCTCGCAAAATATATAAATATGAATAAAAAAATGAAAAATACCACAAAGAAGAAAGGACAGGATAGAAGAAGAAAATGGAAGAATATAAATGAAAAAAAGATTTTTGGCATCATCACATTTTTTGGCATCGTCATCACATTTGTTTGGTCATTGTTCTATTTTTGCTTTTTAATTTTCTGGTTCATTTGGCATATAATCAAATGGTAATGTATACCCGTAATCCTCATCTTTTCTTCCTAAATCATCTGGAAGTAGACTCGAAATTATGATGAATATCACCAGACTCAAAATTGTTAGCAAAACCATGCAAGTCTGAAAAATAAATTGATGTTTTCTGAGTTCCATTAACTTTATTTAATTTATTTGCTCTTTTTTTTTGTTCATTTTCGTTCAAGTTCCAAAGTTTGAGCTGATGTGAAGGCACAATTAAAATAAAATTAAAGAAGAGTTCCAAAAATAGTTTGCACTCGGCGCTCACTCAGTCCATATGAAAAATGAAATAAAAATGAAATGAGAAAAATCTGATGGATGAATAAATTGAATGAAAAATTGGATGGGAAATTGAATGAAACGTCATTTTTGAAAAGAATGGAAGAAGGGGAAAATCTGAAATTGTATTTTTGATTGACAAATTTTTTGATTTCGGGTTTTTGTTTCAATTTGATGGACAGGTTCCCAGAAGAAAATTCAATTTTTCTTGGAATCAAAAAATAGCATGTTTTTCTGACATGACACAAAAAAGTAAACTTTGATCTGACGAAAGACTGAATCTTATCATAAACCATACGTTTTCAGTTGGATAACTTTTTCAAGTTAATTAGAGATGAGAATAACTTTTGAACTTTATCTATTTTCGAGAATGCATTTGAGGCTCAAAGATAAATGTTGTACTGAAGACCTGTGAAAATTTTCTGGGGCAAACCCAGCATTTTTTTCTGGAATCTTTTTCATAAGTATCATAAAGCTTCAGAAACAAATTTTCAATTTTTCGAGTTGATTCGAGTTTTCTGATTTGTGCTACACCAAAACTAAAAATTTTAAATATCATCAAAACCATTTTTTTCGAATTTTTTTTTTTAGAAAAACTCACTTTGCTGTTTGCAAACTCGACCAAGTTTTGTCTTTCACGCATGAGACGCTCGCGACGCGATTCTCTTGGCTATAATAAAAAAAATAACTAGAAAATGTTTTCAATTAAAAAAACATACCTCATCATTATCTGAATATCGTTTCTTCATCACTCTGTCTGAAAATAGAATCATATTTTTTCGAGATCAGAAAACACCCAGAAGGATATATGATCCTTTAATGAAAAGGCTCACTAATCCGGTTCCAAATATGTATCACTTAATTCAAAAAACGAGAAAAGGACGAAGAAAAATCGGAAAGAATAAGAGAAGAACGAAGAAAAAAATGGAAAAGAGCTAGAAGAGAAAAAGATGGAGTAAGGGTAAGAAAAAATGCACGAAAAAAGGAAAAGAAAAACGAGTTAGAGAAAAAGAGAGGTGAAGTTAAGTTAGAAACGCATATCTCTATGGAAACAAAAAATTGGATTTTGATAGGAAAATAAAAATTTGACAATGAAACCCAGAAATTATCCATACATGACATAAAATTTTATTTTATTTTAGAAAAATAGTAAAGTTAATTATAGATGTGCTTTATGGTCGTAAAAATGATGTCCTTTGTCACACGTATTGAATTTGAAATGCTCGGTTGCCGAGTGATTTCGTTGTATTGATTCTATAAGCTCACCAGCAATACATCGCACCGGTCGATATTGATATTCCTGAAACAAAAATTATAATGTTTTCAAAATGATAGATTTTGGTATGAAGTTCATCAACGCACAATTTCATAGCTACTTTGTTCGGGATCTTCTTCGATTGTATAACACGAACTTGATTCCTGAAAAATAAAATCATTTCAAAGATGAAACTTAACAAAGAATACAAACTTCTTCCATGATTTCGTATTTTGAACTACGGATGTTTGCTTTTGGAACAGCTGAAGACGTTTTCTTCTTTTTGATAGGAATAGATTGAAACTGACTACCAGCAAATTGAACTTTTGAAACCGTTCGGTTTCTCACAAAATCACCATTGTATTTGAAATCGATTTGATTTTGTGTTTTGGCATCGAAAGCAGTTCCATCAGCTGGCAAAATCTTGTTATCAGTATGAATTCTTCTCTCATAACGATCTCCACGAAGATTTGTGAAGTCTTCTTGATTTTGTGTTTTTGCATCGAATGCAGTTCCATCAGCTGGCAAAATCTTGTTATCCGTTGGAATTCTTCTTTCATAACGATCTCCACGAAGATTTGTGAAGTCTTCTTGATTTTGTGTTTTCGCATCGAATGCAGTTCCATCAGCTGGCAAAATCTTGTTATCAGTAGGAATTCTTCGCTCATAACGATCTCCACGAAGATTTGTGAAGTCTTCTTGATTTTGTGTTTTCGCATCGAATGCAGTTCCATCAGCTGGCAAAATCTTGTTATCCGTAGGAATTCTTCTCTCATAACGATCTCCACGAAGATTTGTGAAGTCTTCTTGATTTTGTGTTTTCGCATCGAATACAGTTCCATCAGCTGGCAAAATCTTGTTATCCGTAGGAATTCTGCTCTCATAACGATCTCCACGAAGATTTGTGAAGTCTTCTTGATTTTGTGTTTTCGCATCGAATGCAGTTCCATCAGCTGGCAAAATCTTGTTATCAGTAGGAATTCTTCTCTCATAACGATCTCCACGAAGATTTGTGAAGTCTTCTTGATTTTGTGTTTTCGCATCGAATGCAGTTCCATCAGCTGGCAAAATCTTGTTATCCGTTGGAATTCTTCTCTCATAACGATCTCCACGAAGATTTGTGAAGTCTTCTTGATTTTGTGTTTTCGCATCGAATGCAGTTCCATCAGCTGGCAAAATCTTGTTATCAGTAGGAATTCTTCGCTCATAACGATCTCCACGAAGATTTGTGAAGTCTTCTTGATTTTGTGTTTTCGCATCGAATGCAGTTCCATCAGCTGGCAAAATCTTGTTATCAGTAGGAATTCTTCGCTCATAACGATCTCCACGAAGATTTGTGAAGTCTTCTTGATTTTGTGTTTTCGCATCGAATGCAGTTCCATCAGCTGGCAAAATCTTGTTATCCGTAGGAATTCTTCTCTCATAACGATCTCCACGAAGATTTGTGAAGTCTTCTTGATTTTGTGTTTTCGCATCGAATGCAGTTCCATCAGCTGGCAAAATCTTGTTATCAGTAGGAATTCTTCTTTCATAACGATCTCCACGAAGATTTGTGAAGTCTTCTTGATTTTGTGTTTTCGCATCGAATGCAGTTCCATCAGCTGGCAAAATCTTGTTATCAGTAGGAATTCTTCGCTCATAACGATCTCCACGAAGATTTGTGAAGTCTTCTTGATTTTGTGTTTTCGCATCGAATACAGTTCCATCAGCTGGCAAAATCTTGTTATCAGTAGGAATTCTTCTTTCATAACGATCTCCACGAAGATTTGTGAAGTCTTCTTGATTTTGTGTTTTCGCATCGAATACAGTTCCATCAGCTGGCAAAATCTTGTTATCAGTAGGAATTCTTCTTTCATAACGATCTCCACGAAGATTTGTGAAGTCTTCTTGATTTTGTGTTTTCGCATCGAATGCAGTTCCATCAGCTGGCAAAATCTTGTTATCAGTAGGAATTCTTCTTTCATAACGATCTCCACGAAGATTTGTGAAGTCTTCTTGATTTTGTGTTTTCGCATCGAATGCAGTTCCATCAGCTGGCAAAATCTTGTTATCCGTAGGAATTCTTCTCTCATAACGATCTCCACGAAGATTTGTGAAGTCTTCTTGATTTTGTGTTTTCGCATCGAATGCAGTTCCATCAGCTGGCAAAATCTTGTTATCAGTAGGAATTCTTCTTTCATAACGATCTCCACGAAGATTTGTGAAGTCTTCTTGATTTTGTGTTTTCGCATCGAATACAGTTCCATCAGCTGGCAAAATCTTGTTATCCGTAGGAATTCTTCTCTCATAACGATCTCCACGAAGATTTGTGAAGTCTTCTTGATTTTGTGTTTTCGCATCGAATGCAGTTCCATCAGCTGGCAAAATCTTGTTATCAGTAGGAATTCTTCTCTCATAACGATCTCCACGAAGATTTGTGAAGTCTTCTTGATTTTGTGTTTTCGCATCGAATGCAGTTCCATCAGCTGGCAAAATCTTGTTATCCGTTGGAATTCTTCTCTCATAACGATCTCCACGAAGATTTGTGAAGTCTTCTTGATTTTGTGTTTTCGCATCGAATGCAGTTCCATCAGCTGGCAAAATCTTGTTATCCGTTGGAATTCTTCTTTCATAACGATCTCCACGAAGATTTGTGAAGTCTTCTTGATTTTGTGTTTTCGCATCGAATGCAGTTCCATCAGCTGGCAAAATCTTGTTATCCGTTGGAATTCTTCTTTCATAACGATCTCCACGAAGATTTGTGAAGTCTTCTTGATTTTGTGTTTTCGCATCGAATGCAGTTCCATCAGCTGGCAAAATCTTGTTATCCGTAGGAATTCTTCTCTCATAACGATCTCCACGAAGATTTGTGAAGTCTTCTTGATTTTGTGTTTTCGCATCGAATGCAGTTCCATCAGCTGGCAAAATCTTGTTATCCGTTGGAATTCTTCTTTCATAACGATCTCCACGAAGATTTGTGAAGTCTTCTTGATTTTGTGTTTTCGCATCGAATGCAGTTCCATCAGCTGGCAAAATCTTGTTATCCGTTGGAATTCTTCTTTCATAACGATCTCCACGAAGATTTGTGAAGTCTTCTTGATTTTGTGTTTTCGCATCGAATGCAGTTCCATCAGCTGGCAAAATCTTGTTATCAGTAGGAATTCTTCGCTCATAACGATCTCCACGAAGATTTGTGAAGTCTTCTTGATTTTGTGTTTTCGCATCGAATGCAGTTCCATCAGCTGGCAAAATCTTGTTATCAGTAGGAATTCTTCGCTCATAACGATCTCCACGAAGATTTGTGAAGTCTTCTTGATTTTGTGTTTTCGCATCGAATGCAGTTCCATCAGCTGGCAAAATCTTGTTATCCGTAGGAATTCTTCTCTCATAACGATCTCCACGAAGATTTGTGAAGTCTTCTTGATTTTGTGTTTTCGCATCGAATGCAGTTCCATCAGCTGGCAAAATCTTGTTATCAGTAGGAATTCTTCGCTCATAACGATCTCCACGAAGATTTGTGAAGTCTTCTTGATTTTGTGTTTTCGCATCGAATGCAGTTCCATCAGCTGGCAAAATCTTGTTATCCGTAGGAATTCTTCTCTCATAACGATCTCCACGAAGATTTGTGAAGTCTTCTTGATTTTGTGTTTTCGCATCGAATGCAGTTCCATCAGCTGGCAAAATCTTGTTATCCGTAGGAATTCTTCTCTCATAACGATCTCCACGAAGATTTGTGAAGTCTTCTTGATTTTGTGTTTTCGCATCGAATGCAGTTCCATCAGCTGGCAAAATCTTGTTATCAGTAGGAATTCTTCTCTCATAACGATCTCCACGAAGATTTGTGAAGTCTTCTTGATTTTGTGTTTTTGCATCGAATGCAGTTCCATCAGCTGGCAAAATCTTGTTATCCGTAGGAATTCTTCTCTCATAACGATCTCCACGAAGATTTGTGAAGTCTTCTTGATTTTGTGTTTTTGCATCGAATGCAGTTCCATCAGCTGGCAAAATCTTGTTATCAGTAGGAATTCTTCTCTCATAACGATCTCCACGAAGATTTGTGAAGTCTTCTTGATTTTGTGTTTTCGCATCGAATGCAGTTCCATCAGCTGGCAAAATCTTGTTATCAGTAGGAATTCTTCTCTCATAACGATCTCCACGAAGATTTGTGAAGTCTTCTTGATTTTGTGTTTTCGCATCGAATGCAGTTCCATCAGCTGGCAAAATCTTGTTATCAGTAGGAATTCTTCTCTCATAACGATCTCCACGAAGATTTGTGAAGTCTTCTTGATTTTGTGTTTTCGCATCGAATGCAGTTCCATCAGCTGGCAAAATCTTGTTATCCGTTGGAATTCTTCGCTCATAACGATCTCCACGAAGATTTGTGAAGTCTTCTTGATTTTGTGTTTTCGCATCGAATGCAGTTCCATCAGCTGGCAAAATCTTGTTATCCGTAGGAATTCTTCTCTCATAACGATCTCCACGAAGATTTGTGAAGTCTTCTTGATTTTGTGTTTTCGCATCGAATGCAGTTCCATCAGCTGGCAAAATCTTGTTATCCGTAGGAATTCTTCTCTCATAACGATCTCCACGAAGATTTGTGAAGTCTTCTTGATTTTGTGTTTTCGCATCGAATGCAGTTCCATCAGCTGGCAAAATCTTGTTATCCGTAGGAATTCTTCTCTCATAACGATCTCCACGAAGATTTGTGAAGTCTTCTTGATTTTGTGTTTTCGCATCGAATGCAGTTCCATCAGCTGGCAAAATCTTGTTATCCGTAGGAATTCTTCTCTCATAACGATCTCCACGAAGATTTGTGAAGTCTTCTTGATTTTGTGTTTTCGCATCGAATGCAGTTCCATCAGCTGGCAAAATCTTGTTATCAGTAGGAATTCTTCTCTCATAACGATCTCCACGAAGATTTGTGAAGTCTTCTTGATTTTGTGTTTTTGCATCGAATGCAGTTCCATCAGCTGGCAAAATCTTGTTATCCGTAGGAATTCTTCTCTCATAACGATCTCCACGAAGATTTGTGAAGTCTTCTTGATTTTGTGTTTTTGCATCGAATGCAGTTCCATCAGCTGGCAAAATCTTGTTATCAGTAGGAATTCTTCTCTCATAACGATCTCCACGAAGATTTGTGAAGTCTTCTTGATTTTGTGTTTTCGCATCGAATGCAGTTCCATCAGCTGGCAAAATCTTGTTATCAGTAGGAATTCTTCTCTCATAACGATCTCCACGAAGATTTGTGAAGTCTTCTTGATTTTGTGTTTTCGCATCGAATGCAGTTCCATCAGCTGGCAAAATCTTGTTATCAGTAGGAATTCTTCTCTCATAACGATCTCCACGAAGATTTGTGAAGTCTTCTTGATTTTGTGTTTTCGCATCGAATGCAGTTCCATCAGCTGGCAAAATCTTGTTATCCGTTGGAATTCTTCTCTCATAACGATCTCCACGAAGATTTGTGAAGTCTTCTTGATTTTGTGTTTTCGCATCGAATGCAGTTCCATCAGCTGGCAAAATCTTGTTATCAGTAGGAATTCTTCTCTCATAACGATCTCCACGAAGATTTGTGAAGTCTTCTTGATTTTGTGTTTTCGCATCGAATGCAGTTCCATCAGCTGGCAAAATCTTGTTATCCGTTGGAATTCTTCGCTCATAACGATCTCCACGAAGATTTGTGAAGTCTTCTTGATTTTGTGTTTTCGCATCGAATGCAGTTCCATCAGCTGGCAAAATCTTGTTATCCGTAGGAATTCTTCTCTCATAACGATCTCCACGAAGATTTGTGAAGTCTTCTTGATTTTGTGTTTTCGCATCGAATGCAGTTCCATCAGCTGGCAAAATCTTGTTATCCGTAGGAATTCTTCTCTCATAACGATCTCCACGAAGATTTGTGAAGTCTTCTTGATTTTGTGTTTTCGCATCGAATGCAGTTCCATCAGCTGGCAGTATCTTGTTATCCGTAGGAATTCTTCTCTCATAACGATCTCCACGAAGATTTGTGAAGTCTTCTTGATTTTGTGTTTTTGCATCGAATGCAGTTCCATCAGCTGGCAAAATCTTGTTATCAGTAGGAATTCTTCTCTCATAACGATCTCCACGAAGATTTGTGAAGTCTTCTTGATTTTGTGTTTTCGCATCGAATGCAGTTCCATCAGCTGGCAAAATCTTGTTATCAGTAGGAATTCTTCTCTCATAACGATCTCCACGAAGATTTGTGAAGTCTTCTTGATTTTGTGTTTTCGCATCGAATGCAGTTCCATCAGCTGGCAAAATCTTGTTATCCGTTGGAATTCTTCGCTCATAACGATCTCCACGAAGATTTGTGAAGTCTTCTTGATTTTGTGTTTTTGCATCGAATGCAGTTCCATCAGCTGGCAAAATCTTGTTATCAGTAGGAATTCTTCTCTCATAACGATCTCCACGAAGATTTGTGAAGTCTTCTTGATTTTGTGTTTTCGCATCGAATACAGTTCCATCAGCTGGCAAAATCTTGTTATCCGTAGGAATTCTTCTCTCATAACGATCTCCACGAAGATTTGTGAAGTCTTCTTGATTTTGTGTTTTCGCATCGAATACAGTTCCATCAGCTGGCAAAATCTTGTTATCAGTAGGAATTCTTCTCTCATAACGATCTCCACGAAGATTTGTGAAGTCTTCTTGATTTTGTGTTTTCGCATCGAATACAGTTCCATCAGCTGGCAAAATCTTGTTATCCGTAGGAATTCTTCTCTCATAACGATCTCCACGAAGATTTGTGAAGTCTTCTTGATTTTGTGTTTTCGCATCGAATACAGTTCCATCAGCTGGCAAAATCTTGTTATCAGTAGGAATTCTTCTCTCATAACGATCTCCACGAAGATTTGTGAAGTCTTCTTGATTTTGTGTTTTCGCATCGAATGCAGTTCCATCAGCTGGCAAAATCTTGTTATCCGTAGGAATTCTTCTCTCATAACGATCTCCACGAAGATTTGTGAAGTCTTCTTGATTTTGTGTTTTCGCATCGAATACAGTTCCATCAGCTGGCAAAATCTTGTTATCCGTAGGAATTCTTCTCTCATAACGATCTCCACGAAGATTTGTGAAGTCTTCTTGATTTTGTGTTTTCGCATCGAATGCAGTTCCATCAGCTGGCAAAATCTTGTTATCCGTTGGAATTCTTCGCTCATAACGATCTCCACGAAGATTTGTGAAGTCTTCTTGATTTTGTGTTTTCGCATCGAATGCAGTTCCATCAGCTGGCAAAATCTTGTTATCCGTTGGAATTCTTCTCTCATAACGATCTCCACGAAGATTTGTGAAGTCTTCTTGATTTTGTGTTTTTGCATCGAATGCAGTTCCATCAGCTGGCAAAATCTTGTTATCCGTAGGAATTCTTCTCTCATAACGATCTCCACGAAGATTTGTGAAGTCTTCTTGATTTTGTGTTTTCGCATCGAATGCAGTTCCATCAGCTGGCAAAATCTTGTTATCCGTTGGAATTCTTCTCTCATAACGATCTCCACGAAGATTTGTGAAGTCTTCTTGATTTTGTGTTTTCGCATCGAATGCAGTTCCATCAGCTGGCAAAATCTTGTTATCCGTTGGAATTCTTCGCTCATAACGATCTCCACGAAGATTTGTGAAGTCTTCTTGATTTTGTGTTTTCGCATCGAATACAGTTCCATCAGCTGGCAAAATCTTGTTATCCGTAGGAATTCTTCTCTCATAACGATCTCCACGAAGATTTGTGAAGTCTTCTTGATTTTGTGTTTTCGCATCGAATGCAGTTCCATCAGCTGGCAAAATCTTGTTATCCGTTGGAATTCTTCGCTCATAACGATCTCCACGAAGATTTGTGAAGTCTTCTTGATTTTGTGTTTTCGCATCGAATGCAGTTCCATCAGCTGGCAAAATCTTGTTATCAGTAGGAATTCTTCTCTCATAACGATCTCCACGAAGATTTGTGAAGTCTTCTTGATTTTGTGTTTTCGCATCGAATGCAGTTCCATCAGCTGGCAAAATCTTGTTATCAGTAGGAATTCTTCTCTCATAACGATCTCCACGAAGATTTGTGAAGTCTTCTTGATTTTGTGTTTTCGCATCGAATGCAGTTCCATCAGCTGGCAAAATCTTGTTATCAGTAGGAATTCTTCTCTCATAACGATCTCCACGAAGATTTGTGAAGTCTTCTTGATTTTGTGTTTTCGCATCGAATGCAGTTCCATCAGCTGGCAAAATCTTGTTATCCGTAGGAATTCTTCTCTCATAACGATCTCCACGAAGATTTGTGAAGTCTTCTTGATTTTGTGTTTTCGCATCGAATACAGTTCCATCAGCTGGCAAAATCTTGTTATCAGTAGGAATTCTTCTCTCATAACGATCTCCACGAAGATTTGTGAAGTCTTCTTGATTTTGTGTTTTCGCATCGAATGCAGTTCCATCAGCTGGCAAAATCTTGTTATCCGTTGGAATTCTTCTCTCATAACGATCTCCACGAAGATTTGTGAAGTCTTCTTGATTTTGTGTTTTCGCATCGAATACAGTTCCATCAGCTGGCAAAATCTTGTTATCCGTAGGAATTCTTCTCTCATAACGATCTCCACGAAGATTTGTGAAGTCTTCTTGATTTTGTGTTTTCGCATCGAATGCAGTTCCATCAGCTGGCAAAATCTTGTTATCAGTAGGAATTCTTCTCTCATAACGATCTCCACGAAGATTTGTGAAGTCTTCTTGATTTTGTGTTTTCGCATCGAATACAGTTCCATCAGCTGGCAAAATCTTGTTATCAGTAGGAATTCTTCTCTCATAACGATCTCCACGAAGATTTGTGAAGTCTTCTTGATTTTGTGTTTTCGCATCGAATGCAGTTCCATCAGCTGGCAAAATCTTGTTATCCGTAGGAATTCTTCTCTCATAACGATCTCCACGAAGATTTGTGAAGTCTTCTTGATTTTGTGTTTTCGCATCGAATGCAGTTCCATCAGCTGGCAAAATCTTGTTATCAGTAGGAATTCTTCTCTCATAACGATCTCCACGAAGATTTGTGAAGTCTTCTTGATTTTGTGTTTTTGCATCGAATGCAGTTCCATCAGCTGGCAAAATCTTGTTATCCGTAGGAATTCTTCTCTCATAACGATCTCCACGAAGATTTGTGAAGTCTTCTTGATTTTGTGTTTTCGCATCGAATGCAGTTCCATCAGCTGGCAAAATCTTGTTATCAGTAGGAATTCTTCTCTCATAACGATCTCCACGAAGATTTGTGAAGTCTTCTTGATTTTGTGTTTTCGCATCGAATACAGTTCCATCAGCTGGCAAAATCTTGTTATCCGTAGGAATTCTTCTCTCATAACGATCTCCACGAAGATTTGTGAAGTCTTCTTGATTTTGTGTTTTCGCATCGAATGCAGTTCCATCAGCTGGCAAAATCTTGTTATCAGTAGGAATTCTTCTCTCATAACGATCTCCACGAAGATTTGTGAAGTCTTCTTGATTTTGTGTTTTCGCATCGAATACAGTTCCATCAGCTGGCAAAATCTTGTTATCCGTAGGAATTCTTCTCTCATAACGATCTCCACGAAGATTTGTGAAGTCTTCTTGATTTTGTGTTTTCGCATCGAATGCAGTTCCATCAGCTGGCAAAATCTTGTTATCAGTAGGAATTCTTCTCTCATAACGATCTCCACGAAGATTTGTGAAGTCTTCTTGATTTTGTGTTTTCGCATCGAATACAGTTCCATCAGCTGGCAAAATCTTGTTATCCGTAGGAATTCTTCTCTCATAACGATCTCCACGAAGATTTGTGAAGTCTTCTTGATTTTGTGTTTTCGCATCGAATGCAGTTCCATCAGCTGGCAAAATCTTGTTATCCGTAGGAATTCTTCTCTCATAACGATCTCCACGAAGATTTGTGAAGTCTTCTTGATTTTGTGTTTTCGCATCGAATGCAGTTCCATCAGCTGGCAAAATCTTGTTATCCGTTGGAATTCTTCGCTCATAACGATCTCCACGAAGATTTGTGAAGTCTTCTTGATTTTGTGTTTTCGCATCGAATGCAGTTCCATCAGCTGGCAAAATCTTGTTATCCGTTGGAATTCTTCGCTCATAACGATCTCCACGAAGATTTGTGAAGTCTTCTTGATTTTGTGTTTTCGCATCGAATACAGTTCCATCAGCTGGCAAAATCTTGTTATCCGTAGGAATTCTTCTCTCATAACGATCTCCACGAAGATTTGTGAAGTCTTCTTGATTTTGTGTTTTCGCATCGAATGCAGTTCCATCAGCTGGCAAAATCTTGTTATCCGTTGGAATTCTTCGCTCATAACGATCTCCACGAAGATTTGTGAAGTCTTCTTGATTTTGTGTTTTCGCATCGAATGCAGTTCCATCAGCTGGCAAAATCTTGTTATCCGTTGGAATTCTTCTCTCATAACGATCTCCACGAAGATTTGTGAAGTCTTCTTGATTTTGTGTTTTCGCATCGAATGCAGTTCCATCAGCTGGCAAAATCTTGTTATCCGTAGGAATTCTTCTCTCATAACGATCTCCACGAAGATTTGTGAAGTCTTCTTGATTTTGTGTTTTCGCATCGAATGCAGTTCCATCAGCTGGCAAAATCTTGTTATCCGTTGGAATTCTTCGCTCATAACGATCTCCACGAAGATTTGTGAAGTCTTCTTGATTTTGTGTTTTCGCATCGAATGCAGTTCCATCAGCTGGCAAAATCTTGTTATCCGTTGGAATTCTTCTCTCATAACGATCTCCACGAAGATTTGTGAAGTCTTCTTGATTTTGTGTTTTCGCATCGAATGCAGTTCCATCAGCTGGCAAAATCTTGTTATCCGTTGGAATTCTTCGCTCATAACGATCTCCACGAAGATTTGTGAAGTCTTCTTGATTTTGTGTTTTCGCATCGAATGCAGTTCCATCAGCTGGCAAAATCTTGTTATCCGTTGGAATTCTTCGCTCATAACGATCTCCACGAAGATTTGTGAAGTCTTCTTGATTTTGTGTTTTCGCATCGAATGCAGTTCCATCAGCTGGCAAAATCTTGTTATCCGTTGGAATTCTTCGCTCATAACGATCTCCACGAAGATTTGTGAAGTCTTCTTGATTTTGTGTTTTCGCATCGAATGCAGTTCCATCAGCTGGCAAAATCTTGTTATCCGTTGGAATTCTTCTCTCATAACGATCTCCACGAAGATTTGTGAAGTCTTCTTGATTTTGTGTTTTCGCATCGAATGCAGTTCCATCAGCTGGCAAAATCTTGTTATCCGTTGGAATTCTTCGCTCATAACGATCTCCACGAAGATTTGTGAAGTCTTCTTGATTTTGTGTTTTCGCATCGAATGCAGTTCCATCAGCTGGCAAAATCTTGTTATCCGTTGGAATTCTTCTCTCATAACGATCTCCACGAAGATTTGTGAAGTCTTCTTGATTTTGTGTTTTCGCATCGAATGCAGTTCCATCAGCTGGCAAAATCTTGTTATCCGTTGGAATTCTTCGCTCATAACGATCTCCACGAAGATTTGTGAAGTCTTCTTGATTTTGTGTTTTCGCATCGAATGCAGTTCCATCAGCTGGCAAAATCTTGTTATCCGTTGGAATTCTTCGCTCATAACGATCTCCACGAAGATTTGTGAAGTCTTCTTGATTTTGTGTTTTCGCATCGAATGCAGTTCCATCAGCTGGCAAAATCTTGTTATCCGTTGGAATTCTTCGCTCATAACGATCTCCACGAAGATTTGTGAAGTCTTCTTGATTTTGTGTTTTCGCATCGAATGCAGTTCCATCAGCTGGCAAAATCTTGTTATCCGTTGGAATTCTTCTCTCATAACGATCTCCACGAAGATTTGTGAAGTCTTCTTGATTTTGTGTTTTCGCATCGAATGCAGTTCCATCAGCTGGCAAAATCTTGTTATCCGTTGGAATTCTTCGCTCATAACGATCTCCACGAAGATTTGTGAAGTCTTCTTGATTTTGTGTTTTCGCATCGAATGCAGTTCCATCAGCTGGCAAAATCTTGTTATCCGTTGGAATTCTTCGCTCATAACGATCTCCACGAAGATTTGTGAAGTCTTCTTGATTTTGTGTTTTCGCATCGAATGCAGTTCCATCAGCTGGCAAAATCTTGTTATCCGTTGGAATTCTTCGCTCATAACGATCTCCACGAAGATTTGTGAAGTCTTCTTGATTTTGTGTTTTCGCATCGAATGCAGTTCCATCAGCTGGCAAAATCTTGTTATCAGTAGGAATTCTTCTTTCATAACGATCTCCACGAAGATTTGTGAAGTCTTCTTGATTTTGTGTTTTCGCATCGAATGCAGTTCCATCAGCTGGCAAAATCTTGTTATCCGTAGGAATTCTTCTCTCATAACGATCTCCACGAAGATTTGTGAAGTCTTCTTGATTTTGTGTTCTCATATTCGAAATATATTTCGTTGCGGAAGTTGTTGTTTTCTGCAAATTTTCAGACCTTCTTGTATTCTGAAAATGTTTGTGTTCTGTTGTTTTCCTTGCAGAGTTCGACGCTGATCTTGCCGATGAAGATTGACTATCAGATGAACTATTTGGTCGAGAAATGTTTCTCGTAAGTTTTTCTCTTTCTGGAAACATTGCGTTTGTGGTCGTAAATAATGTTCCAATTGATGATTGATTTCTAGGTGACTGATTATTTTTGTCGACGTTGGCAGTTTTAGGGCTAACATTAGTTTTAACATGAATTGATTGCAATTTCGATTGTTCAGTGTTCACAGAACGTGTGGAGGTTTCATTTCTTCCAATATCAAGTCGTGGTAACTGAAATATTCAAAAAATGTTTTTTTTATGTGGATATTTTTCATACCTTGATATCATTTTTTGAATTTTTCAATTCTCTTGAAGATGAATGTGCAACAGAAAAATCATCAGATGATACTGAACTTTGAAAAATCTCCGAAATTCTGCTTTGATGTCTAATTGGAACAACCCGTTCAATACTCGATTTTGATCTACTCACAATACTAGTTTGCTGAAATTTTCAAGAGTTTTCATTGAAAAGTGGAAAAAAAGAGGGAGGATGAACTCACTTTTTTGAAATTGGAACTACTATCAAACCGATTTGAGGTATTACCGTCGTCAAATTGGATACTGCTCGCATTTCGATCATGCGGGCATTTGTGTCTTCTGAAATGTTAAAATTTTTTTGGAATAAATTCAGAAAATTATGAATAAAAATCTCACCCGCAAGTACAGATTTGACAAATACATCTTGCTCCATGTACCATTTTGAAAGTATCCTTTTCTGAAAAAAGTTTTTTTGTTTAGAAAGAGAACAGGAAAATGAAAAGAACGTTATCAAATGTAAAATTGCAACATTCATGAAAAAAATGATGTTCGATAAGAGAAAAGTTGAAACAAACAATTGACAAGCGTAACTGAAAGAACAAAAAAAGCTGTTTCAACAAGCAATCCAAATAAATAAATATATATGAGAAATAAAATGAAAATAGTTGGTTTGATAAAATGATTCACACAATGAATGTGTTTATCAGTGATTTGATTTTTCACACATTTTGGTTGTATATTTTCATTTTTCTATACATGATATATATACATATAATATAGAAAATAGAAATGAATATAAATATCAGAAAGTTTTCGTCTCCATGGCTTCTGCTCTGCGTGCCTGCCTAGCCTTCTATTTTCAAAAAAAATCTTTTTTTTTCTTTCTCATGAAAATTTTGCTCTACTTTGTTCATTTTCCGGCTTCACTTCACAATACATGCACTCTTTTTCGCCTTATTCTACCCTCAATTAACTGGTTTGTCAAAATTTTCGAAGAGAAAGCGAGTTGTACTCTTTTTTGCATTTTTGTGTGTGAGAAAAATTGAGGCAAGGCAGATGGAAAATGAAGGAACGAGTAGAAAAAATGGATGATCAAAGATTGGAGGGTGCGCATGGAAATGTATAGGGTTGGGAAATTGCAAAATTATTAGCTGGAATATATTTTTATATGGAAAAAAATGTTGGGTTCGAAAAAGTTTCGAATTCTTGTAGTGCAAAATAATTTTGAAAATTTCGTTTCTTTCAAGAAAAAAACAGTTTTTGAAAGAGTTCATATTTTCCACAATCGTTGAGTTATGCAAATTCCACTCTGGACTTTTTAAGAATGAAAAACTAACTGAAAATTTAGACTTTAAATAAGATTTGAAAAAAATAAAATGAAAGAATAACCAGATTCCTAGAATTCATATAATTTTCCAAAAACAGAAAAATGCTCACAAAATTATAATTCAAAGAATCCACACCCTAATGAAAAATGCTCCGAAATTCCTCATAAAATGAAAACAATATTTGAAACATGAAGAATCACACCCGAAAAACAAATCCCATGAGGCTTGGTAATCCATCTTATAAGTGACATAAATTACGCTCTCCCACCACCCACCCTAAAGAAAATTCGATCGAAATAAATGAAAAAAGTTGCATTTTTCTCGGAACGTCATTGAAAAAAAACCGAAAAGGACATAGAAACACAATGGTTTTTACACGATGACAAAACTAGTTTTTCAATTTTTTACTGACACGCACGCAAAAAATATTTGAAGAAAAATGAGCGGATATATTGATGAGGCAACAAAAAGAGGTAGAAGGGAAAAACAAGAGAATGAGGAGCACAAAAATATTCGCTTTTTTGTGCGTCTCTTCTTTTTGGGAATGTTATTTGTAAAAATTAGCTCTGAAGGGTGTAAACAACCCATTTCTCACATTGTTGGCTGACAAAGTACTTTCTGGATTTGTGTATTATAGAAGGCATGAAAAAGATTTTCCAAAAGGGTATAAAATTAATCTTTAGTCACAACAACATTTTACAGTTATTTTTCTCATACTTTCATTACCCAAAACAAAAAATAAACCTCGTAATTATTAATTTCCAGTTTTTTTTTAAATTTAAATAAATCAATCCACATTAAAACATCTTCACCTTTTTTCTTTTCAACAAAACAAAAATAATAAGCCCCACCCACTTCGCATGCAAAAAATAAAGACGCGCATTGCCTGTTAGTTGTCGGCGCACAAAAAATAATAAGAAGGGAAGACGGTTCATTCAATTTTGATGTGCAGTATAATCCTACATGGAAAAAAATAAAGAGAAACAAAGTGAATACAAGAGGGGTTCTGTATTACATTAATCTATTTTGTTACTGTATCACAGTGGCAAAAAGATTATTGTAGTACAGTAACCTTTCTTGTTTTCACGAAAAGAGGGGGAAATCTAACAAAAATATTTTGAGATTTGAAAAAGTAAACGACGAATTGTTCTTGCGAAAATTGTGTTTTGCAGAGTTATCAAGGGCATGCGCAAAGCTAAGAGAACCAAAACTGGAGAGTGAATTTATGAGTTGATGCGAAAAATACTTTTCTTTTGAAAAATTGGCTATGTAAACTTTTTTTTGAATAATCGCATTTCATTACGAATATTCAAAATTAAAGGCTTTTTGTATCAAAAGTAACACTGCGTAACCTATTTGTCTATCATCCACATACTTTAAGACCCACTCTTTATCGTCATTTTTGTTCGAGACTCTACATTTTTCTCATTAACATCTCACGCACTTTGCATCTCATCAGAATAAAAAAAACCTAGTGTGTGAACAAACCATCGAACAAATTTTGCGTAAAATTATTTTATGATTCACAATAAATCTATTATTCACAAATAACTAATGGGAGATGAGGGAAAAAAAGAATAGCTGCAATTTGAACATGTAGGCAATTTTTTCACAAAGCTATAAATATTTTTTGGAAGGGGGGACACAAAATATAGTTATTTTACATGGAAAGTATACACAATGATAGTCTTTCTTATATAATCTATGAAAATATCACAGTTTGGAACATTAAAAAAATATGAATATCGTTTTTCATAAGTGAATAGATGTGAACACGTTTTGATTTCATTTAGATATATTTATCACAAGTGAACCATCCTTCAAGTATCCGATTCGATTTTCGATCTTCTGGCATGTTGTTCAATTTGAGAAGTGGAATGCAAACCATATACATTTTATGCTTATCCATCAAACCACCATTATTCCAAACACTAACTTCAAGAACTCGAGTTGACAAGAAATTTGATGGAAAATGTTCATAAGAAAGCTGGAAAACAAATATTTCTGAATGTGAGTGAATTTATAAACTAAAAATTAATTAAAAGAAAAAAAAACTCACATCTTGATTGAAAGTTGGATGTTGAGTTCCTCTTACAACTTGAGTCTTTCTTTTCGAATAATTTTGCAAATCTGGTCTCACATAAGTTTTAACGTATGCATCTGGAGCTTGTCCGGTTTGGAGGATTGCCAAGTTTTTGATGTGTCCTGAACAAACAAGATGGGGTTTTAATAATAATTTCAATTTGGTCAGAGACACCCACGTAATTGATTTTTCAGTTTCAAAAAGTATTCGTAGTTTGGTACCGAACGAAGTTCATTTACATTGTGTTCAGAAAAATTGATGATTGGTTCCGGGAGAGAGGAATGAATTACTTTTTTATGAAATCATAGACCACCCGGGAAGTAATATTTTTTCGGAATATCTAAATGTAAGACATGGTTTAATGAATAAAACTGACAACTAAATGCGAGAATATGATTTTAAAAATTTTAAAAATGTTGGACCACCCACGAAGAAAATACATTGGAAATTTATCAAATCAAAAACTCATCTAAATGTCGGTGAGAACTACTTTCTCACATGAACTGTTCTTCCCAAAAACATTTCACAAATTTGGACTACCCACAAAATTTGCCCTCTAAAACTCACCAACAAAAACACTCAACAATTCCTTGTTACTGTTGTACTGAACCTTCAGATAAACTTGACAACTGTTAGTTGGATGCATATCTGACGTATCTGCAAAATGAAGAAGGGAATTTTCTTCCGGAATTTCAAAAAAAAAATGAATAAAACTGTGAATATTAATAGAGCTCGAGCTCGTGGGCTCATGTGAGAAAATTCTTGTTTTTTTTTGAAAAAAATTTGTTTTTTCTCTTTCGCATTTAAAATTAAACCAAAGCAGAAATGTTTTTTTTTCAGAAAAAATCTTATTCATGTTTTTTCTTATTCTCATCCGATTTTCAAAATAAATATGGGTGAAATGAAATGAAATAAAATAAAAAATATGGGAGAGCCTTGGGTTTCACACGGCTTGGGGGTCCCAGATGTTTATGACTTACCAATATATGTATCGCACTTATTGTCTCGAAGAAGAGAGTGGAAAAATGTGTAGACCAAATCACACTGAAAAAATAAAGAAACATTTTTTAGTATTATGGTTATGTAAGAAAAAAGTATGAGAGAGTTCACAAAAAATGAGAAAAAATGCTTACATGACAAATTTCTGGACTTTGAGAAAATAAAAATCGGAGAAATCGTTGAACATCAATGATTCGTTTTTGCGCGATTGCTCGAACATTTGATCGCATATTTGAGCCCGTAGTTAATTGCGCAGGAAATGTTGGGAATCTAACAAAAAGACAAAAAAATAAAATGCGGAAATGTCAAATATTTCATTTCTGTTGTCTACCTTTTTCTTAGTTTCGCGTGCAATTCATCAAACTCAGCAAAAGAACGATAGATATATGAAGGGACAGTTATATTATCACGAAGAACTTCAATTTTGTACATCTGTAAAAAATGAACTTATTTCGTGGGTGGTAAATATTTATTTATATATGCAAGTTTTTTTGGGGTGGAATAATTATTATTACAACACGATATTTCGTGTTGTGTCATGAAATTTTAAAAGAGCAAAAAAAATATTTGAAGAACACACGTTCTGCAAAAAAAATGATTTTTTTTCCAAGAAGTTCCATGAAAAATTTATAAATGAGGATTAGCAAAAGGGTATTAGGAACAACTGTGAGGGCGAAAATTTTGGAGCAGAGGTCAAAAATAAAACAACTTACATATACTTTGTGTGGAATAAAACACTTTTCGAAGGACAAAGCTCGAACAGTTATTATTGGACCATCAGTTTTCATTCTGCAAAAAAATGTTCGGGGTACTTTTTTGTCGTCTTATTCAGTTCAAACCCCCTCCCCCTTTCCAAACAAAAAACTCACGTGTACAATTCTGGCACAAAGCTCAATTTATTATCATCACGATTGGTGAAACTCGAACTTGACGACATGAATTGTGCAAAAGTGTGAGCGACAAAATTCAATCGTGTTGATGTGCTATTCAGTGAATTCTGAATCATCTCGGTGAATTGAATTGTTGCGGCAGTTTCTGACAAGTTGAGCATCAAGTTTTTCTCAACAAATGCAATTGAGTCAGCGTTGATTCCAGGAATGTCAGAGCAAACCATCTGCAAAATTTGATTTTATTCAGATTCTAAACAAACTTTGGCAAAAATTATCGAACTCACAATTCTGAGAAGATTTGTCAAAATATTCTTGTTTCTTCTCAAATAATTAAAAGCTTTGCAACAATAATCAATGAATTTCTGATAGTTGATAGTTTGTGTTTTTCCACCATTTATCACATAAAACATTTCGGATGTGAAAACAAAAGGAACCCGATCTCTTCTGAATCCGCCAGCCATTTGCCAATCACCCATATATTTTCCAAAATCAATATGAAATACATGACCTTTTTTGGTGAATAATATATTATCATTATGACGATCACCAATACCCAAAACATATGTTACAATACACCAACCAGCACAAGATCGAATAAAATTGTCTAGTGCTTGTTTATAAGTGAATTCACTACTGTTGTGTTTCATAAGCCATTTTCGCAATACTTCGTGGTTCAAAACACCAGTCAAACCATCTTCTTTTTGAATTTCGAGAAGAGTTGCACAATTGGAAACAAGTTCACCCATTCCTCTTTTGAAGCCAACTGGCATTACACGAAATGTGATAATTCGAAGATCAAGATTATTTGATTTCCAAATGCGATCCATTTCATTCACCATTTTCATAACAAATGCATCTTGTCTCATATCATCATCTCTTTTATGAATAATTGCATAATCTGATGTCATTCCTCGGAACACAATCTTCAAAGGTTTTGCATTTGAATTGAAAATATTGCATTCATCAACTCGAATTCCAACACAATCAAATGATGGACAAATTGGCAATCGAACTTTGTTTTGCAACAATTTCGAATCAAGAATCCCTAATCTCGTTCTCAATCGGAACAATTTCTCTTGATCTGAATCATTTGGTCGACTTCGAAGATCATCTTGAATTGAATCAAGTTCGGATAATAATTCATGCTGCAATTTGACGTCTCGACGAAGTTCACTATTATTATGTTCATCAATAATTTTTTGTTGCAAGTTTTGACATCGAAATGCATATGGAAAATCATCAATTGAGCAATGATCGACGCGTTGTTGAAATTGCCAATAAAGTTCATATGTGAAATCGAGACCGACGGTTGAAAGTTCTAGAATGAAATCAGCAAGTGAAGATTGTTCATAGAGTTCAAATCGGAGAGCTTCAATGAATTGAGCGATTGTGTTGTACAGGAAATCGGTGCTTCCGGTTGATAACCAGCGAACTGCATATGAGCGAATTCTTTCGTCAGGATATCTGAGAAAAATATATTTTTTATTAAGGTTCTGTTCTAATTTAATTTTCCTGAAAAAAACTCACTGTGGAAGTAAAAGCTGCATTGCAATCTCCGGTCTTAATGGTGCCCAAACTTCCAAAATTTGATAAACCTGCGCCAAAAATACAAAACTCCAATCAGTCAAAGATGAAAGCACAAGTGGTAAAGCTTCCGGCTGATTTGTCATATACAATCGTTTTTGCCAAATCAATTCCTGATCATCATATTCCAAATTCGATGGATCTTGTCGCTCAATAAGTTCCAATAAATATTCCTGAGTTTCCAAATCCAACATTGAAAAATCTTGAGGTATACATTGCATATCAACCGAAACTTTTGGAAAGTAAATGTCAGTATCCCAAACTTTTAAACTCATTGTGAGAATTGGATCCCGAGCATCTTTGATGTACGGATAAGGACCGAATGGTTTCAAAAGATTCTTTTTGAGAATTGTTAGTGGCAGGAAATATGGTCCTTGTCGAAGAGCACTAAAAATTACTTCTTATTTTATTAATTTCATATTTTTCAAACTAATTAGATAAAAATTGTAGACTCACGAATTTTCATCAAATAACGGCACCGAGCAATAAGCCAAAATTTGCGTTGTCTCAACATTATCAACTTTCGATGTTCCACTGATCGAAACAATTATTCTTGTCTCCCTCGGATACATGCAAAGCTTCAATCTCTTCAATTTTGCATATAAATCGAGTGGAATTTTTGGGAAGAAACTATCAATCTGAACTTTTTTTGGCGAACGATTCGAATGACCATCCAAAGCTTGAGTTCCATAGTATACATCGAGAGAAAGGTAAAACTCGGAATAATTTCTGATCCATTCTTCAGGAATTGATTGAACAGAGTTGAGGATTATTTGAATGTTATCGTTGTGAAGGAGCAATTCTTCTTTGGCTTTCTCGGGTTGCTGCAAAAACTAGTTTTGGTAAATTTATTTTTCAAAAGTTTGTATTATCAAACTCACCACCAATGGCGGAAGCATATATCGGCTAACCGTACACCGACAGTAAATCTCCAAAAAATTCCGTAATTCTCGCACAAAATCACTTCTCCGTTGATTGAGCTGCTCCTGAATACATTTTTTTCAGAAATTTTGTGGACACGTGGAAGAAGATTGAACTCACATCGGTAGTTGCTGCCAAATATTTCTGCATTTCAATATACATTTTTTCGGGTACAATTTCATGTAAAATTTTACAAAGCAACTTGACCACTTGTTTCACTTTTTGGGAAGCTTGAGATACTGAAAAAAAACAATTTCATTGAAAGTAGCTATTTCATTTTTTTATTCTATGAAGATTTTTGGCAAAAACTCTCAAAAAAATCTCCTCCAATATACTTACTTAATAGTGTTGAACCTTCATCGAAAGCGGATTCATAGCTTGTCATTTCTTGTTCGAGATGTTCTAAAGTGTGTTCAACATCTTCTTTGTCAACAAAAGTTGCGTAGCGAAGTTGACTTCTGAAAAAATGCAATGTTTTTTCATTCAACAAGAAGAGAACTTACTTCATACTGCTCCAAGGTTCATAAAAATCGACTTCACTAAATCTCCGATCTTTTTCGAACAACGACAATTCCAATTTCACATCATCACCGTGAAGCAAACAATGTCCAGTATACAAATTTGATCCAAGTAAACTGTCATTCGCCAAAAATTGATTCAAGCCATAAATCTGCAATACTCTAATTGAGGCAAAAGCAGCAACATATAAATCAAAAATCTGTCATCAAAACAGTCCTAGACAGGTATATGATTGAAATGAATAAATAAAAAACACACACCACACCAAAGACACAAAGCAATTAGAGGATTAGTTGAAATTCGTACAGTGGGTGAAAAAAGCGTTGAAGTTGAAACAAAAAAATACTGACCTTCAAACCATATTTTTTGCCTTCTTCGATATTTGGTTCATACCAAGCTAACGCATGTTTGGTGATAAATCCGATTGTTTCATTAATATCACAAGTTGTTGCTCGACTGTTTGTATCGCCTCGCCATCTGGAAAAAAAGGTTATTGAGAAACGATACTTTTAAAAACTTATTCGAAAACTGCAGATTGACAAAATGTGTAAACACCAATTTAAAGGTGGCGCGTTTTAGGCCATTAGTTTGTTTTCGATTTGGGAATGTGTGTTTGTATTTTTTTCAGAATAAAGGGTATTTTTTGAATTTTTTTCGATGAAAATTAAATTTTTTTTATTTGTAAATGGTTCTATCTGAATCTTTAAATAGAGCATCTGAAACTTGGTTGAGAATTGAAGTTAGATTAATTATAATTCTCAAACAAAAAAAAGTTTTTTTTTAAATTTTCTCAAGATGATTATTTTAATATATGTATGTTCATATTTTTCAATGGATTTCAGAGATCATGAAAAACTAATCAATCTTACTGTTCTGTTCAAAAAACACAAACCTGTGATCTCGATAAACTTCAACTTTCAGCGAATCAGCACACGTAGTCATATAATCAACAGTGGGTGCAATAAAAAAGTCTGGATTTTTCTCAATTCGAATCAACCCTCTATTTCGAATCTTCTTCATTTGCACTTCAATTGGATCGGGAGAATCTATCAATTTGATTGAAGCCACAGTAAGTTCTTGTTTTTCTACTTCCACTTTGATAGTTGATCCGGGGACATTATTCAACGGTGTTTTGTTGTAAGAATATTGAATTGGAGGCATATTTGAATTATTTTCATTTGCAAATATTGGTTTAATATACAAGGGGTCAAATTCACGCCAAATCTGAAACAGAAAAAAAAACTACCAAAACTAATCAATTAAAAATATCAGATGGAACTAATTGTTCTTTCCTTCTTCTTTTTCTTTTCATGTTTTTTGAATGAATCGAAACTAAAAAACATTAGACCGAAAAAAGAAGAAGAAGAAGAAAAATGAATTGGAAGAAAAAGATATCAGAGATGACCCAAAGGGGAACAGAAAACGAAAAAAAGACTGACCTCATCCAATGAAACATTCGAATTATCTTCACTATGCATTGTACTCAAATCAATTAAATCACCATTTAAAAGTGCACCATAGGATTGATTCATATTCATCATTCTGTATGGAACATATAAATGAGTTGATGGTTGATAGGGAGAAACTGATGAGGAACTTTGTTCTAACAGCATTGACGTATCTTCACGGAACGATGATGATGTGTCAGTTATAGATGTTGATGAGCTGATATCAAATGGCTTTATCGCTGAAAATAATGAAATTCGAACTAGTTAAGTTGAACAAATTGAAAAAACTTTTTTCCTGTGCGCTGTAATTTTTAAAATGTTTTTTCGGTACCAGAGGTCTTCAATCCGTGTTTAGAATAATTGTTCATATTTCTAGTCGTTTCTATTAAAAATTAGAAATTTTGAACAATTAATTTAAGATGACAATATTTTCTTTAACTTTGATTAATTTTCATTTGACGTTAGAGTTATTCAAAAGGGTTCTTCATTTCATTAACGATTAATGGTTCAAAATATTTTTGATTTAAAAATTCTCGGGATTCTGATTCACTATTTTTGATTATTTTTGGTTCAGTCATTCTCGAGTTATTGAATTTTTCGTCGACGTTCGATTTTTCGATCTCTTTCAAATAAAAAACTCACGTGATAGTTCATTTCGTTGCAATGTGAAATTCGGTTGCGAAAATCTCAAAGGTGTTGAACTTGTCGGTTGTGAAGTTTGTCGATTTAACCGAGGTGGCAATGGAGGAGCTGGTGACTCACGCAGATCTAAAAAGAATAACACTCATTTTTCATCAAATATCTCTTTTAAAACTCACATGATATTGACGGACTTGGTGGGAAATGACCCCTCAATGATAAAGGTTTCGGTGGTCTTGGCGGTGGCTCAATAAAATTGAAAGCGTTCTGATATGGAAGCGATGAAGAAGCAAATACTGGACTTGTAACAACAGGCGAAGAATCGTCAAAAGATTGACGAAACCCATAGAACGGAGCGCTGAAAGAAAATTATCCGGTTACATGAAAAAGCAGCTGTCACACATACTTTATCACAAGTGCGTGTGTTTTGAAAAAAAATAGAAAAATAACTTACGGAGCAGCGGTAGGAGGTGCCACATTGTATAAACTTTTGATATGATCAATTTGCTCTCGTCTTTTTGGTTCTTCTGGCGATTCAAAACGGATCAAATCATTCACCCCGCTCAGGCGTTTGTTTTCTTCATCTTTGAAAGTTTGCCTGAAAGATATATATTTTCTTCGAGAAAGGAATCATAGCATTTTTAAGCACGAATACATGGTAAATCTTAAGATCAGCCTTGTTTCAACTCATAGGAGTCCAACAATTTGGAAGAAACATCTTCTCGGGCTTTTCATTTAAAATTTTATTAATATTCCCCGACCCTCTTCAAAAAAAAAACTCACTTTGACAATTCAATTGCAAACTGTAATTCCTCATCATCGCTCATAGTTTGTTTCTTGTCAAGTCCATAAATCTGTGAAGAATAAGTTAGAACATTCATTTTCCCCGTAAAAGTCAACTACAATGATTGATCAAAGAAAATAAGTTTATTTCTATTTTCTACAACAAAATTTTCAAAACCGGTTATTGATTGATTGAAGGAACAGTTCTGAGCAAATAATGAGAAGAAGAAAAAAAGGACATAAAAAAATAGTGACCGCAAAACATACAATTCTAAATATGGAACATAAGGAAGAAACGAAAATAATGTAAATAAATCGGTTTGAACTAGCGCTAGAACTTGTTTCAGTTTCTCATGAGAAAAAAATGCGATTGATAAATTAAATTAGAAAAAAAATTATACCATTACAAAACTACATAACTTTTTTATCTTTACAACGCGAAAAAAAGAACGCAGCAGTTTACGGTAAACAACAGGCACGCGGAGTGTCGTTGTTTCTTTCACACTTTTTCTTCCCAAACAACAAAAAAATGATTGACTGGGTCAAATTGCATATGCAGGAAGAGGAAGAGAAAGATGACACTTTTTTGCTAGTATTGTTTTTTTTTTGCGAGTTTTGTTATTTTGGTAAAAAACGGTTTTTTGTGATATTTATTTTGGTGATATTGGTGCTACCAAATTAATAAACAAATAGTGTTTAGAGGACCAGCTGATCGTGAAAGGATGAGATAACAAAACGATTATATTATATGATCTGAGAGAGTTGTAAATTTTGGGAATTATTTGTAAAAAGGGTAAATTTCTTTACTTATTTAAAATTATTATAAGAAGAGAATAATTTTCTAGAAAATTAAGAAGCTTAAAATTCGAAGATAATCAAAGCGTTTGTTTTTCTTTGAGGAATTTTGCTTTGGTCCAAAAACGCGACTCGTTTGACATTTTTTTGAATTATTCTTCATCCTTTAATGTTTTTTTCCAAACTACTTGAAACTTTAAAAACACTTACCTTGGACTTTTCATCTGACATTGTGAGTTGTATTAGAGTTTGAGTGCCTGAATGATCATTTAAAGGTTTTGAGAGTAAATTTTCGAAAAAAAATTGAACAAAATTTAGAGGAAAAGGGTGCATGTTTGATCAAAAATTGTAGAAATGAAAAATGAGGAACGATTCGTTGGTTTTTTTTTTGGCCCATGACTCAGACACAAAAACAAAACAAAATCTTATCAAAGATTTTGCAATGAAGTGTAATTTTTTCGTGTTCAAGAAAAAAAACAGTCAATCGATTCTATTTCAAAAATTACAACAACCAATTTAGCTTAACTCGCATCTCAATTTCCCGGAATGAGAAAATTGACTTTATGAATATTTCCAATCGAAATCCCATTAAAAATACATCAAAATTTAAAAAAAATGCCGGAATAAAAAAATTTCAAAAGTGAATCATTTCTTATGGTTAAAATGATAGCCCATGAGTCAGGAAATCCCATCCAAATACATTGAATTTTGCAAAAAAAAAATTGCCAGAAGATTTGAATTTTGAATCTTAAAAAAATTTTTCTGGAAGTACAATATTTTTCAAAGTCAACAAAGAATTTGCAATTGAATATTTATGCCTACCAAAATTCGGAAAAACATAAATCCTGAGCAAAATACATGAATATGTAAAGATCATCAAAGATAAGGTTAAAAAGGCAGTGAGTGAAACATTTTCCGGTTAGAAAAATCTAGTTTTTGTATCCAGAAGCAGCGACGTTGTCAACAGCGACAGCGGTGGCTTCAGCAGCAACTGGAGCTGAGACATAGGTGGCTGGTGGTGGTGGTGGGGGTGGTTGAACGTATCCGGTGGCCTATAAGAAACAAATATTTGATTATTGTACATAGCTTTTAGATGGAGAGAAAACTCACAACTGGTTCTGGGGCGGTGTAAGTTTGTTGAACTTGTGGTTGAGTGTAGACTGGACGTGGTTGTGGGGCAACATATTGTGGTTGTGGGGCAGCATATTGTTGTTGTGGTGCGAAGTATTGTGGACGTGGTGGTGGGGCATAATATGGGGCTGGTCTAGCAGCGGCTGCTGCAGCGCATGGATCGCAAGCGTTTCCACCGAACAAGTTTGGAAGTCCAAGATTTCCGAACAAGAATCCTTGAGCGGAAGCGATGAGAAGAGCCGAGATGATGAGAGATTGCATTTTGAAGTGACCTAACCTAAGATATCCCATCGATTTGAATCTGTTTTATAGCAAGATCAATGGGGCGGAGTTGCCCTTGAAGTTTAGCTCTCTTCTCGAATTGTCACCTTCATCCAATTCCTTTCAACGACAAGAGTAGCAGCAAACAAAAACAGATACATATATATTTATGGTTTGTGATAGTTATATGTTACTTCATTTTATTTTCAAAAAAGGAGGCTCTCAAGGTTGACCAAATGGTGTGAGAATAGGAAGTTTTTAAACAAGAGAAGATAAATGGCAATTTGACAAAGAAGGGAGTAAGAGACAAAGATTGTGTTTTGATAAGAGTTTATGGTTTTTGAAAAAAAAACATATTCATATGTTTTTCTTCGAATTAATTGAGCTTCGATCAATTAAAACGGAAATGCGTCTTCAAAATTAATTTAATTTCCTTCAAATTTGATTCCCGGAATTAATATTTTCCCGATTTTTTATTTTTTTTGAAATAAATCTCAAGACGAAGAAGAACCAAAATATATAGCTAGGAAAGGATGAGCTGGATGAGTAAGAATTACAAAAAAGGGATAATGAATCAGAGGTTACTGTAGTGTCTAAAAACATGAAATTTTTTGCAGAAGTGAGCTATTTTTGAATTTGATGATGATGAGAATTGCGAAAGTTTGTTTTGACGTCTGGTTTCGGATTATTTCTCAGGCAGGTAAGATTTTTGCTCCATTAGTTCTGTTCTATTTTTAATTTGTCTCGCTCGTGGAGGTGTGACATTTCAAATAGTTTTGATTTCAAGTGAGTGAGTGATGTTATTTCAGAAATGTTTGATTTTATTTTTATGTTTGAATTTTCAGTAGATATTTTGAGTAAAATTTCAGTTTGGAATTTAATTTTAATTTTATACTTGTGAGCAAAAATTAGGGTTGTTGAAAGGTGAATGCATAATATCTATATTATCAAATTCCGCCCACCCAAAATAAAGTATCGGAATGTTCACATTCAAACAGGAACCCAAAATAATTGCAATTCAATTTCAACTCAAAGCATATCCGGAGTTTTTCAAAAACCAAACATAAAGCAAAAAATATATCAATTTCTCTTTTATTCAAAGTGCAGTGCAAATCAATCCTCGTCATTTCCCTTATTTTCTTCAATTCATCTAATATTAAAATAATTTCTTTCAAAAACGTGTGTTTATAAATAAATATTCCTAAAAACACACATCACATCACATCATTTCCAGATCATGATCTATATCAAGTCATCTTGTTTTTTTCTTTTTTGAATATCTAATGTCACATACCACACATGCTTATGCTTTGAAACTCAACCAACTCAACATTTTTATAATTCATAAAACTTTTTCTCATCGTATATGTGGATGATTTTTTAATACGTTTTTTTTTCAAAAATCATTTTTTTTGGCCATTTATATTTTTAAAATATGTTTTTTATCCCACTCAATTTTATCTATACGATACCGTTTCAGTAAATCGGGTTATGACTATTCTGGATTTATATTATTATTATTATAGCTGCTAATATGCATAATCTTCTTTTTTTCTCCATTTTTGTCGGGCGATAATAAGATAAGACGATTTGAAGAGCTATGAAGAGAGGGAAAAGATGAAAAAAAAAAGAAAATCTTGGATTGAGGGCGTGGATTTGTTATATGTTATACACGTGTAAAATAACTAACATGTCTCAATTCATTTCTTTTTTTTCCTTTTTCCGCTTCAATCTCTTGTGTGGTTTCTTTTTTGATTATTTTTTGGACTTTTTCCAATTTTTTAGTCATACATTTTATATTTGGTGAGTTTGTGATTTCATGAATTTTTCAGAGAAAAATGGGAGGGCTTTTTGATACACACACACAATAAAAATATTCAGAATAGAGATCTGGAATGTTTGTGAGGTTTATTTATGAATCAAGTTGCAAAGAGTGCAGGATTAGTTTGTCTGGGATAAGAACTTGTGATATTTTTGGGAGTGTTATTCGTTTAAAGCTTTTCAGGGGTTTTAGATTCTAGAATTAAGGTTTCAAGTTTTTTAAATAAGTTATCTGCTTTGTTTTCTAGACGAACGCAAACCCATTGAGATCCCGAGTGCAAAACGTTGGAATATAACGCGCGAATCCTTGCAAGAGAACATCTCTCGATGTGAATCCTAGACACTAGGTTAAAACATTTAGAGAATAATTTAATAATTTGGTCTTGAAACCTACCATTTTGAGGTGTGTTTCCAATTCCCATTCCAGTTTTCCTCATCTCTAGAGCAAAATTCTCGAAACTTTTTCTTTGTTCTTTGTTATTTTTGTTGCCAAATCACAGACATCTTTATCAAAACTGTTGCAATCTTCTTTTTTTTTCTTTCTGCTTGCTTATATTTTTCTTCTTGTCCGGAACTACGTCACAACCCAAGAAAAAATTTCAAAACCAGTTTTAGGTAATCAAAGAATAAACGCAACAGAAAAACGGTTGACCGAATGCCAATTGTGAGAGCTCGAGGAACATCAGTTCGTGAACGAGTTGCGGCAATCGAGAAAAATGATGTGGGATCCATGAAAACTTCGAATTCGGATAACACGGTTATCCGAGCAAAGTATGTGGCTGATGTTCGAGGGGTCAACAGATATCGACATTTTCATACGTAAGATTTTCATTGATTCTTTTTCTTGGAAAGAAAAAGCAAAGTTGTATATTTCTTGAAAAAAAGAGGGAAAAATTGATAAAATCTGATGAATAGAGCCGAATTAATATTGAATTGAATTGGTAAACATGGCAAGGATTATACCCGTTTTTTCTATCTCTTATATTCAAAGTGTTCTGAATATCTTTATAACTAATAACTTATTCTTGAATCGTCATCAACGACTCGAAAAATACACACATATTATTTTTAGGGGAGATCGCCGTGAAATATTTATAAATAAAAATTGGGATGCGATAAAAATAGCATTGGAAATGAAAATAAATGAGTTGACGTAACTATTTTTGGGATGGACGCGAATGGAGAGGGGTGATTAATAAATGTTTGCATTCTAAATTGGATAAATGCCACTTTTTTCAAAAGTTAATTTTGAATGCCAGACGTCGGTGTTTTTTGTTCAGAATTATGAAAGTTGATTTGACTCGTATTGAATTTTTCAAGTTCACATTTGATTTTTTGAATTTTCGAAAATATGAAAAATCATATTGTTTTGATGAACTTCAATTTTCTTTTCAAAGTTTAAATTATTTTGAAAACAGTTGTTTTTAAAATTATTTCAGGCTTGTAAAAACGCTAGAATATTGAAATTTTAAAAAATTTTCAATCATTAGACATTATTATAATTTAAGTTTTTTCTACTCTGACATCCTAGAACAAGCTCAACTTCTAAAAACAAATTCGAATAATTTTCAATACACCACCTACAATCTATCCGCATTTTCCTAAAATCTTGAAAACGGAAATTCGTAAGATTAAAAAATCATATCACAGCCACTTTCTTTCGTTTTTGTAGACCATTGATGAATGATGTTAATACTCGCAACAATAACTACGGCAAAGATACAACGTCATCATCTTCAACCCAATTGCCGTATCTGATCAGACCTGGACAGTAAGAATTTTTGTTCTGTTCTGTGTTTTTTTGATAACAATTGATGACGTTTGAATCTTTTGCAGAATTCATTACATTGACCCTGACGATCGAGACGCCGAAAATGGAATGGAAAAAGGTGAGAGACAAAAAATGATCTCATATCACAGACTACACATAAAATGAATAAATAAATTAATGAATCACTGTTAATCTCAACGTCATTGCCCTCTTCTCTTTCTATTTTCACATAATCCTCATTTTTCCAGGCATTAGAAAGAAGAAGAAAAATGTGACACTTCCCCAACTCAACAATTCAACATCAGTTTATTCAAAACTTGGTCTAAAACCGAAAAAAGAAAATGATATCATCAGCAAAAGTGAGATTTTGAAAATGTTGAAGTATTTCAAATATTGTATTTTTCAGTAGAAGAACGGGCAAAAACAGCAATTGAATTGAAATCATCATCTGAATCTGACAATTCGCTGAAATCGAGTTATTCTGGAGTTCGACTGAATGATAGCCTGACACAAAAAAGTACAGGTGGGAAGATGTATAGAAAAAAGATTAGAAAAAGATTTAGACAATCTTTTTGAGGATTAAAGAAGATGACTGTTTCTTGTGATTATGCCATTCTTGAAACTTTGAGATTAACTAGTTTGCACTCGAGAGAAATCTGATGGATGGGACATTAAAAATTAGGAGTTAACAATATATTTAACAAATTTAAAATGGAGAGCTTTCAATCCTTTGAAAATTAGGTTATCTAACTTTTTTGGGAATTAAAAACCAGTAAACCATTTTGTGTATGCAGAATTTTATCTGAAATGAAAATGACCAAACCCAACTTTAATTTTTTAATCAAAGCTTCCGCAAAATGTGTTATTTTCAAAAAAAAAAAAGGATTTTTCTATGCTGTTCATATTTCAGTTCCTGATTCAAATGTTTTTGAATAATTTTTCAAAAACCCGTAGATCAATTCTGCTAAGCCTTGTTGACATAATTCAAAATTCTGACATCAACTAGATCATGTTCTACATCATTTCAATATCAAAATATCTACATCACAATTTTTCCAAAAGATCTTCCACATTTTCCTCATTCTCTCCCTTAATCAGAAATGTATTAAAATGTTTTTTTTTTCTAGGAACAACTCCTCGTCGCACATTTGCCTCGTTGGGTCAGCGACAAAATGGAGTGATTATCACACGACCCGTGAATAATTCATTAGAAGTGGCTCTTCCACCAAGGTATGTATCAACAAAATGTTGATGTGTTTGACTTCTGATCTTTTTTATCGCGCCCTCTTCTATCTTCTTCATTTTTTTATAGATCCAAGTCGGCGCAAGACATCGAAGCTCGCTTTGAGCCGGATTACACAATTGTTCAAGAACCTTCGTTGAACAGTTTGCTTTTATCATCACCTGAATCAAGAGATATGGCTACACAAACGGTAAGAATTTCCGAAAAAAATATTATCAGCAGGTGAAATTTTTCAGGCTAATAAAAATGTCTCAACAGCAAGTGTTGAATTCTTGAACTGTGTTCGATCTACTCAAACAGATTCTGTACCATATGTGATTGTTCCTAGACGGAAATCTGAAGCACCTATCAATCTTCAAGATGTATGTGATCACTAATTATCAATGTGTCAACTTTTATTATTTTCAGATTGAAGAACGGGAAGCGTTGATGGAAGTTATTGAAGATGCTCTTGGTGAAACATTCGATCGATATTCTCGTGTTCGAACGAATCAAATAATTGCGAACAGTGCTAGAAAACAGGCTCAAATATGGCGAGATGCAAAAGATTTTCTGGCCAACTCGTTATTCCCCCATGCTATTCAAACAGCTAATAAAAGTACAAGTAAAAGTAAAACGGCTGCTGAAATTGTGGCTAATATTAAGATTTATCCATAGATTTTGTAGCATCTTTGCTCATTTTATATATTCATGATCTCAATATTTTTCTCCCGTTTTTTTTCATCATCTAACCTCTGTTTGATAGATGTTCCCGATATTTCTTTAATCATACAATTGTAGTCATTTTTTATAGTTTTGTGTATAGTTTTTGTTGCTCAACTTGAATACATAAAAATATTCAATGGTGTATCAATTGCTCTTATTTTTCAAATGGGTTTTTAAAATTAAAACATACTCTTTCACACGGAAAACAATAGTAGCGAGAATTGTTGAAAAATTACCCTAATAAGAAAAGGAAGAAAAATTAAGTGAATAAAAATACGAAGTAAAGGTTCTTCGACCTGAAAATCAGACAACGAAAGTGATACGCTGAAATACAAACAATTTTCATATCTAAATTTTTCATTTTACCAGAAAAGGATCATATGGAAATTGAAACATGTAAAAAACATTATAATTTTAATTTGTAATAACGATAATTTAGCTAGAAATAGAACAAAGGGGGCATTTAGGTATGGTTCCCGTTGAATGTGTCCTTGTCTAGTTTGTCGAGAACTTCTCTGTTCTTTTTTCTTTCAAATTGTTGGAATCGCCTCAAATTTGATTGGGCTGAAATTATTCATTTTTGAATTTTTGAAATCAAAAAAATTGTCACTCACCAAGGTTGTGTGCTAAATATTCTGCAAGCACCGATCGATGCACCACGGTAATGTTATCTCTTCTTCGGTGTGGTTGTATTTGCCTCGAGCAATTTGGCTGAAATCTATCATATTTGGGGTATTCAAATTGAAAATTTTAAAACTCACCGAACCTTTGTGCCCACAAATGGGAAAACTTGATTGTTAGTCGAGGCATTCATTATGTTTTCTGTCGAGGATTGGTGGAATCGCCGCGAATTTCTTTGAATGGGCTGAAATCATATGTTTTCAGATCTTTGAAATCAATAAAAATCGACACTCACCAAAATTGTGTGCCAGCAATCCTTCAAATTCATTGCTGGTCGATGCACCATGTTAAAGTCCTAGTGAATCGAGTGCATCCTTCGTTGATTTTGCTGAACTCGCTCATTTCTAGTCTGTAAAAAAATATCAACTAAAATCAAGAACGGGGTAATCTCACCGTCTGACCACTATGCCATAAAACATTTGAATTTTACCAATTTTTCATCGACGGTCGATTCATCATGTGAGCAATCGCTGTTTTCGCGAGGGCTGTTGAAATTGCCTCGAATGTTTTTGCTTTGGCTGAAATTATGAATTTTTTGGTTCTTAAAATTGATAAAAAATTTAAACTCACCAAGAATCCGCAGAAAATACTGGTCGATGCACCATATCAACATTTTTCTTGAGGGCTGTTGAAATTGCCTCAAAATTCGTCGGAGTATCTCGGCCAAAAAACGAAATAGCTCGGGGCGACTCGCTACACAATTTTCGAGACTCGTTTTGTAGCGAGTTGCCCCAAACGCGCCTCAAAAGTGGCGAGTGCCGGGCAACTCGCTACAATTTTTGCCCCTTTTTAAAATCATGGTTTTTAAGCTTTTTTTTCGGGATTTCATAGTTATTCATTGATTAAATGGCCCATATAAATGTAGGGTAATAAAGCTATAAGTAGATCTACTTTTGCTCCATAGATACAGTTTTTGAAAAATGCTTCTGGACACCCTCCGAGAGAGTGGATTGGGGCAAGAACGGGGCAAGTTGCTTCACGCTCGGGCGAGTCGCCCCAAGCTCGCCCAAAGAGCCTCGGGCCAGTCGCCCGAAACGTGTAGCGACTCCGCCCCGATTGGTAGCGACCTCGCCGTTTTCTGCCCGAGATCAAACTGAAAAAAATTCAATTTTATTTTCTATTTTTCACAAAGTCTTTTAAAAAAACTCACCAAAAAACTCAACAATGTTGTTTCCCGATGAAAGTAAAAAAAATTCGCTCGCGAATAATGGCGAAAAATTAATCTTCAATCCCCACCATTCACAATAATGTGCAATAGGGCGCGTTAGATGCCGTCCCTTTTTATCTGTGTGTGTGTTGTGTTTGTTTTGTAAAAATTAGGAAAAAAGAAAAAGTGTTTGCGAAAAAAAAATCTTTCTTTCATCCCGTGGGGTTTATATGTATCATTTCAATTTGTTATTGTTTTTTTTTTTCATTTTGAGCAAATTTGAATTAAGCATATTTTTCTCGCGTAGAAAGCCTATATAAATTGAACAAAGATTGGTTTGCGAGTACATGATTTATTTTGAAAAAAATGTGTCATTTTTTATGATTTGATTTCTGCAGTCATTGTCTACTGCACAAGTATCAATTAAACACGACACAGTTTTGCAGCTTTATGCTCCAAAATTAAATTTCAGGAATGTGTTTTGTTGTAGCTTTATCTTTTTTTTTTCTTGATACATATTTAGTTTGAGAAGTTTGAAAACGTGATTAAAAACTGATGATTTGGTCCATTTATGATTCAGAAAAATAAATCAAATCATACTTCAAATTTTGCTGAAAAATAAAATTATCCAATAATCCAATGTATAATTCTGCAAATACAAAAACTATTACTCAAAAAAAGAGGAGTATTATTCAATTATGTCCTTATGTGGGATGTCGTTGTGACGCAAAATTTGAAAACAACAGAACATGCAATTAAATTTTTTGATTTCTGGTAACTTCATAAATGAATGTTTTCCAACACATAAATCATATTTCGTTCTATGTTTTCAATAATCATGCTTTCATTTTTTGGTTATATTTTCATTTGATAAGTGAAAGCACATTTTTTTGGAATTATAATAAATTTAGCAACAGAAATATTGCTCTCTCCCAGGTATCCTCAAGGTATTTGCATTGATTAGTATTTTGTCTAATGTTCAGCATTGCTTATTATATTTTTACTTTTCTTGGGACTCTTTTCAGTGGTTTTCAAACAATATTCAGCGGTTTGATAATTTATAAATGCTATTTCAAATCATCTATCAAACACAAAATCGATTTCAAGCTTTTATTGGTTCGCACAATTTTTGATTTCTTGAATGGGTTTCTATGTGAGATTTCTTTCAAATTCCCTCATAAACCTGATATTTCTTTGCAGATTGCATATTTTATACGCTGACAATTCCAAGTTTAACTTATCCTGAATATTTACCATTTCAATATCTATTCATTGTTGGTTTGATTGGTGCAAATTGTCTAGAGATTCGCAGTTATTTGGCTGCTATAATATCAGTCGAAAGAGCAATTGCAACATTCTCACCTATAAAATTCTACAAATATCGGAATAACATTTCAAACTTTGTTATATATTTTCTTGTTATCAGTCTTGGATTATTTTGCGATGTTGTTGTCTTTGGTTTTTGTAAAGCTTGGCCTATCAATCCTGAATGTACAACTCTAAACTGCGCGACAACAAAATGCTATCAAAATTATGTTTCAGCTTCAAAAATTGTGAGTTTGCACATTTCCTTGTGCCGATCATTTAATATTTTCCATACAGATTTATTGCTCCATCAATTTTTCTTTCTGTTTTTTACTAACTGTCAAATTGTTTGTCATGAATTGCAAGAATACCACACCAATATCCGATGTTAGAAAAGCAAATATATTATCATTGACTGATGGTTTATCAACAATCATATTTGAACTCTTACCAACTATGATTTTCAATTATGGATTGATTGATATTACGGTATCAGTTGTTTTCTATGATAGCTTAACGGCGGTTTTTTTTAGTTTGAAAAAATGAATTTAAAAAATTTTGTCATACCGCGTATGAAGATAATATTTGTATTTCAACTTTTCAGACACTTGGTCCAATAACTGGTGCTTTACGAAGTATGGGGCGATCAATAGAAGCCATTGTTATGTATGTTCTGATGCATTCACAATCGTCACATGTTCAAACTATATCAGTGGAGAGTAGAAGAGAATAAACTATTGTGCTACGCGGAAATTGTGATCAGCGAGTCAATACATATTTACTAGAAAGCGTGTATAAACTTCATTGGAGAAATTAAAAAATTTGAAAATATTTTTTTTGTATTTTGCGAAATCAATGAACCAAATTGTATTGTTTTTTTCTCAACGCCCAGAAATTGAGAAACAATGCAAGAACACTTGCAATCGAAATCATTCCAAAGTAAATGAAAAGATTTGGAATAACTCCACTTTGCAGGATTGGCGCGACTTTTTTTGAAATATTCTTGTAGAAGATGGATTCGATAAGAATTGTTGCAAATAAAAGATAACATGCAGTGTCTTTTCTTTTGATTAAAAATGATGAAAGTGTCAGAATAAGGCAAATCTGTTGAATTATGAACTCTAAAACAAAAAAATTCTTGAACTTACAAAAGATGGAACGATAAACACTGCATGAATAAATGGAGCATGTCTTCTCAAAATAAATGAAGTAGTTTGTAAATCAACATAATAGTCAAGTTTCACTTCAATAAGTTTGAAGTTTGAAATGATTGTTTTGTCTTTTCCATGAGCTATGTTCAAATTGATGGCGCTAAGCGCTGCTTTGAAGATTACTGGGTTAAACATAACGTCTTCGTTCAATAATCTCATAGATATTGAGCAGTTTTGTACGTCATATGGAAAATCAGAGAAATCAAATTCGCATCCAATTTTTGCATTATAATGCATTCTTGTTTTCAGGTATCCTCCCTGTGATTTTCAAGGTTTTTTCTTCTGGTAACAATTAGCATAACTCACGCTTGTGATTCTGATTGCTCCGAATGGTTCTATTGGATAAACATTCTCAAATTTCAAATTTGAGATTTTCAATCTAGGAGTCCAAACAAGTTCATCGTCAAAATCTATTTGAATTTCAGAAATGTTACCGTAATGTTCTTCGGACCATTGAAGCCTATCATCCATCCAAATCTGTTTTGCAGGAAATTGAAAATTTGAATTTCAGAAATATAATAAATCTTACCAAAGTTATAGCACCTTGAACATTAACAGCATTGTCGTATTCATTAACGGATAAATGAGTTATAGAGTTGACAACTATTATATCTAATTCAGTGAAGGATCTATGAAATTTCGTATGTTGAATTAAATGATAAAATTTGATACAAACTCACGGTAATTTTGTTTTATCGTAGTTTTTGAAAATTGTCTCTTTAATCTCGTTGTAGTGTTTGGGAGAAGATGGATATTGAGCAAGTGATATTCTTGAAATAGTTTATTTTTTGAATTAGAAGGTAAATTGTTTTCATATTCATTTTTCTCTAGTTTTCGTGAAGTTTTTGAAAAAATTCATTCTTAACTAAATTTGGAATGGAAATTTCGGAAAAATACGAACTTGGGTTTCTCAGAAATTGGTTTTCGAACATCCTCTTGGTGGGGGAAAGCGAATCGACAAAAAACTTACCCATGTGATGGAGTACTTTCTGAATTTGCAGTGAGAAAAATTAACAGGAGAGTAAGTATCATCGCACTGATAATGATATATGAGAAATAAATAAATATTATAATCGCTGAAATTATTTATATTAGTCTTATAAACAATGATATTTCATTACAGACCCCACTGATCATGAGTATACAATATGCCAAAACGATATCACATTTCAATACCCTTCTGTGAAACAGTTTTTCAGAATCTGGCCTAATTGTTGTTTTTTGCCATTTAGAGACTTCAGATGTTTGTCTAAATCTTTGATTCTAAACCAATGAGAAAAGCGTGACCAAAATACCACACATATGTTATGCAAATCTTTATTAATCAAATCGAATCAATAATATCTAAACATTCGATAAAACTTGTAACCACCTTCCATTTTTGGATCTGGTTTTCCCAAAACTCTAATATACAAAGTATTATTATTATATTGTTTAATCTCAATGAGATCATCTTCCGTAAGCTTTGCAATATGATTTTTCCAAGCCGGATCACGATCTTCAATCGTACTTCGACTCCATACTTTCGAAGAGTTTGCTCGTGTTTCTACTTGTTTAGCACTCAAATTTTTGATGAAATTCACCGCTTTCTCTGAAAAAGCAAGGAAATAAATTGATTTTATCCAATATGAGAAATTCAAACCTCTTGATACGAGTGTCCCATCTTTTTTAACCTCATGAAAGTCCTCGTGGAGAATATCAGGATCCCGCATTGAATAATGTTTGTGAAGTGAAGTCATGAATCTTATAGCTTCTCTTCGTGGGTTTGGAGGATCTGTGAAACCCAGTTGAAAAACAAGGAACAAAGAGAAGATAATCAATGTTTTCATGATTGATGTTTTTGCACATTGTGTTCTGCTTTATATACAGTGCAAAAATTTGATGTAAATTTGAAAAAATCTGATTTGGAACGATTATTGATTTAGGTTGAAAAAAAAACGTTTTTTTATTCTTTTTGCACATCAAAATTTGGAAAAATATAAATGTGGAAGTTTTAGAGATGAACTGGTTTTTCAGAAAATGTAAACACAATTTTGTCAAGGAGAGGAATTTTCATGACTTTGGAGCTTTGTAAGAGCCCAAAAATGACAAATCAGTAATTGTTTTCAGTATACCTAAAATACTTCTTTTGTCCGCATAAAGATAGGTGAAATTGAAGGTTGATTGATTATTATAGAAAAAAAGTATGAAGTTTTGATGAATTTCCAAATGAATTTTTATTCAAGTTTAAAGACGCAAAAAAAGTAAAATTCGAAATCTAGAAAGTTACAATAAAGGTTTGATAAACCTCCATCCGAATTTTTTGAAATCCACATTGGAATACATTGTTGAATATTTATCTTTTAAAAAAATATAATTCGGTCTTGTTCAAAATAGATTCGTTGATTCTTACATTTCACCGTATTTCCTAGCCCAACTCAGGTTTAACTTAAAAGTTACCCTAACGTTCAAAATACACTTTTGTGGTCTTCTTCTTTTTCTTCTTCAAAGATTAGTATCGTTCCCCAATTTCAAAATGTAATTCCGATTCATATTCATCTGAACACAATAGACATTTCAACTTTTTCCTTTGCAATGAATCAAACATTTTTAATCGTTCTATTCTTTTCATCTTTGATGAATAACAAACAAACAGCCTTTTCATACAAAAACAAAAATTCTTCATTTTTACAAATACAATGAATGTGAAATAAAAATCAATAATAATAATACCAGCCACTGAGGATTCGATTAATTATTGTTAATTTTGAGGAGGAGAGAAAATTGAACACCAAAAAAATTTACAGAAAAAAATCATCATAAAATAACACTTGATAAAAAAATAAAAAGGAACCCGCTCATGCGACGGTTAGAAACGACACAAGGCGTATGCTGAAATTTCTTTCAACACGCCTAAAATATTTCAGCCTTACTTTAATTGTTTTTATTTTTGGAGAAAAAAAGGAATGATAAAAAATGAATATACGAAAAAATTGTCGCCTAGTTAACGCAACAACCAAAAAAAGATAAAAATTCAAAAAAAAACATGCTAATGTTTGATTGATTGAGAAAAAATAGAGGTTGTAGTTGTTTTTAAAAATTTTGACAGGATTGATGTAAAAAAAATAGTTAGATAGATAGAGAGAAAAATAAACGGATCAGAGGTATTTATACCACATCGAAACACGTAAGGAAGAAATGACAGTGAGAAATGGAGAAGAGAGAAGGTTACTGTACATTTCTCATTCTCACCAAAAATATATTTTTTGTTTGTTTTTTTTATATTTTTTAAATTGAAAACCTAGCTTTGTCTAAAACGATGTTGGTGTTTAGTTTTGTTGTAAAAGGAAGAAAATATTGGGAGAGGCCCGACAAAATTCAAAACCTATACAAATTGTTTTTCCAAGGGTTTGAAAAAACATTGGGGATGGGGATCAGGGAAAAAGTTGTTTTGGAAAATGAAACTGATGAACAATCAAAAACTAGAATTGATTGATTGAGATGAATAAATACATTGATTGGTTTTGTTGCGATTGGAAAGGAGAAAAAAAAAGATAACTAGAAATAGATTAACTATTATGAAACATGGTTAATTTTGAGAGATGAGAAAAAACAGAGTAAAAATAGAGGGACAAAAAACCAATTTTTGTGAAGAGTGTAGAATATTCAAAACATCAAATGTGTTGTGTTCCAATTTTTGATTGACATCAATTTCTGACAAGATTCTGAAAAAGAAGAATTTTATAAGGGATTTTGAGGGAAATAATTGAAACTCACCAATACAAAATGATAAGGATGAAAGATTAACAGAATAGAAGAAAACAAGGAGGCGATTTAGATACCATTCGGGCGACGGAATCTGGAAAAATAATTGTTGAGAAAATGAAAATTCTGCAATATATATTGATAGAACAGAATTTGAAAAGAGATTCTGTACGGAAATAGAGGCTCGGAGAAGATTGAAAATGTGCTTGAAATACGGTTGTACAAACCAGACTCCAAAAAAGAATAGTGTAGACCTCTTTGATTTTTTCCGTACAGAACTAAATTAGAAAAATCAATCAGAAGCTACTAGAAATTACTAAAAGAATCATCAGGCAAGCAGAAAGATAACATCACAACGACTAAAAATGTGCTCAAAAAAAGTATTAACCTTTTACATTTCCTAAAAACATTGTTCATCAAATCTGTGAAATATGAAACCGGATTTTCGTTAGTAGTAAAATGTTCAAAATTGATGCAAAACACTTACTTATACGTATTCCAATCAAACACATAGTCATAACAGAATCCCTGTCGATGGAACAAATTTCTAAACAATTGTCGAAGATGCGAATAATCCGGTGATTCTTCGAATCCAAGTCCACGACAATAGTTCAAATATGCAGCAAAGGCTTCTGAAAAAAATAAACAATTGAATTGGATTAGATTAGTTTCTGATTGAATTATATTTTCACAAATCCCATTTCTTGTTAATGAATCAGAAAGGATTATGAGATTTGTAAATTGTTTAATGCCAGAAATATTGACTCACCTGGATATCCGGCACACAAATCCTCAACTCTTGTCGAGCATTTTCGTTCCGATATCAGCTCATATTTTTGTCGTTTCGTCACCGCTTTTAATCCCTGCCATGGAAGTGTTCCACGATTGAAATACATAAATACATAACCGAGAGATTCAATATCGTCTCGTCGAGACTGTTCAATTCCTCGATGTGTATTGATACTTGCATATCGTGCAGTTCCGGTCAGGTTTTTGTTTTCTCGATAGCTAATATGCACATTTTTACTATCTCTGTATCTTTTTGCCAATCCAAAATCGATTATATATACTAGGTTACCACGTTTTCCAAGACCCATAAGAAAGTTATCCGGTTTGATATCACGATGAATATAATCACGCATATGAATAAACTCGACTCGAGAAAGCTGCAAATTGTTTGTGTTGAGGGGAATGTTTGATAAAATTTATTGAAGAAAGAGAACCTCCAAAAATTGTGGTTCAGGTTGAATATGAATTTTTTTCAGATAACGTTTGACCACAGAACTTCAAAAATCAGGTCGGTAAAATTTTTGATCATCTTGATCGCGTTAAATGAAAAGAAAAAAATCTCACCATTTGATCAGCCAGCAATAAAACCGTCTTCAACGTGAATTTTCGCTGACAAAAATTGAACAAATCCTCCAGCGATGGACCGAGCAATTCCATAACCATAACATTGTAATCGCCCTCAAGGCCACACCATCTGACTTCGGGAATTCCGATGCCGCCCAACATAATTCGATATAGTCTAGATTCAATGTGCAGTTGTGGATGTTTCGACTTCACACACTCCAACTTCACCGCCACCTCTTCATTCGTCTGAATATTTTGACCGAGGTAAATGTCGCCGAATGATCCGCTGCCAATTTTGCGGCCAAGGCGAAACTTGTTTCCCACACGAAGCTCCATTTCCGCTGCAAAAATTAATTGAATTATAAATTATATTTATTCATTTAGAAAATGTGTCCCGTGGCTCCCATATTTTTATAATTTTCATTTCGAACCTTTTTTATGAACTAATGGTTGTGGAATTTGTGGCATCGAATGTGCCGCTAAAAACTGAGTGAATAAAGCTGGATCAAGAGATAGCATTGAGAAAAATTGAGCGTGTGTGGAAGCCATCTGAGCTTGCGCCAAAACGGCCATCGTATTCGGGTCCACTCCATTCCAAAACGCAGCTGGATTTGCTGTCGAACTCGAAGGAACTGCAGCGGGTGCAGCGGCAGCCGCCATTTTCATTCGTTCCTCAAATTCAGCAAGCGCTTTCACAGCTGCGTTATGCTCAATTTGTTGTTGCTGCAACTGTTGCTGATGCAGCTGAAGTTGACTTTGTTGTAATTGCTGTTGCTGCAATTGTTGAGCTTGCAATTGTTGTTGTAAGTTTTGCTGCAGTTGCTGATGATTATGATTATGGTGTAGCGGAACACTTCCAGCTACAGCCACTTCACCGTTCGCCGCAGCACCCCCAAGTGAATGCCATGCAGCATCTGCATCAGTCGACATTGTCGCCATACACCTTAGCGCACAATCCGGGCACACACCCTCCAGCTTAATATGAATGTTTAGACAGTTACTACGAAGTAAAAACGGATAAAACAAAGTGCGAAATACGAATTCAGAATTTAGAATATGCAAAAAATGGGAACAACATCTGCATAGACAGCTGCCAAAGGAAAATGAATTGAAAAAAAAATTGAGAGGGGGTTCAACAATTAAAATCGATTAGAAGAACAGGCACAGCAAAAAACCCTGAATTAAATTCCAATGCTAGACAGAAACAGGCCGAAGAACAAATAAAACAGAGAGAGAAGGAGGGGGAAAAGGTTCCCAAAGTTCAATAAATCAACTTCGTGTTCCCAACAAATGCAAATAATATAAATGACGCAATATCTTCTATTTCATCTCTATTCGATTACTCACTTGCATATATTTTCTACATCTCTAATTCTCTAAATCTCTCGTTTTTGGCAAATACAGACATAAAACTAGAATAGAACATTTCGAAAAATCACGAGAAGGATTTTCGAAAATCTTCTGTATTTATCGATCGATACATCAAAACAATAAAAAAGCCGGCTTCGTTGGCTAGGGGAAAAATTCAACATCTATCAGTTTTTTTCTAAATTACACTCTGTGAATAGAGACTATGAAAAAATTGTTTGTGGAGAACAAAAAAAATTGTTGAAAAAATCAAATGAAATCAATTTCCATAATTTCCAATAAAAGATGAGTCAGAAATATTCTCGCAAAAGGAAAATTTGCGAACAAAAAATAAATCATCGATTAATTTTTCCAAAAATTTAAAGAAGGCAAACAGAGCCAAAAATATGAGAAAAATGGTCTGAAAATCGAAAAAAATGTAGAAAAGAAAAGAAAAACGAAACGAAAAGTGGAAGAAGGGAAAGAAAAAGGGAAAGAGAGAGAGAGAGAAAGAGGAAAAAAAGATAGAATCGCAAGAAAATATAAAGACAAGACAGAGAGAAATTGGAGAAACAAAGTGCAAATCGTACAAGAAACCGTTTCTATTTGAAACGAAGGGAAAAAAGTGAAAGAAAGCGCAAAAATTGAGAATAGTCTGCACTCTCTCAATTTTCCCTCTCTCTTTCTCTCTCTCTCACACACACATTTTCTATCCAATTCCCTTTCGATATACACATTCACTGAATGAATGAGCGTGGCGGGCGAGCGAGCGAAATAGTGCAAACCGATTGTGTATGCAAAAAGAAGAGTGCGCACGTGAGAAAACGACACTCCGCTGAGGGATGTAGCGACGTAAAAGAGGGATGAGACACAACAAATAAATGTTTTAAAGGGAGGCGAGCTGTATTTCAATGTGTGGAGACGCAGACATATGCGGTGCGATTGCGCGCGCGCGCTTTCCGTCCGTCGTCCGCCCGCCGCCCGTTCTTTCATTATTTCTTCCTTTCTTTCTTTCACATTGTATGTACACATATACATACAAATATATATTTATATATATATATATACATACATACACATAAAAACGCAGGCGCGGGGACCTCTGTGAGAAAAAAAAAAGTATATGAGGGAGGGAGACGAGGGAGACGCGCGCGCCAGCCAGCAGCAGACAAAAAACCGGTCGAATTTTGAAAAAAAGCCTAGGGCGCGCGCGCTCGCTCGCGGAAAGAAAAAATCTGTGTCCCTGTGTCTCACCGTTTTTTTTCGCATGTTGTTTGACTGGATGGCTCTGGGGCACCTTGATTTGCGCTTGTTACGTCACCCACAGTCAAACATAACACGAGCGGCCCTTACAGTCGCGTACACATAGGAAAAAACGCGACTACGATGTGGATTATAAAATACACATATGTACATAAAGAAACATGAAGCTTGATGTTTTTTTGTTGTTGTTGTGTTCTAGAGGGGAGAGATTGAACAAAGGCAAGGTGCAAAGCACTTATCAGCCAGCATAAGGGGGTTTGAGCATAATTATAGGCTACGACAAAATTGATAACTAGACAGAAATAAGATCGAGTACATTTTCAGTGCGCCTTCAAATTTTCGAAAAAAAAATCTGAAATATTTTCCTGCTGATTGTGAGGAAACAGAAAAATAGTAATAAACTAAAAAGGATTTTTCACGTTATGATAGAAATTTTCATTCGATATAAAACCAAATTTAATCAGCGCATAGTGCATCTAAATCCTTATCCTAAAATCTCTAACCAAAAATTTGGTGGGCTCAAGCTATAAGCTAGACTAATCGGAGCCACATGATTTTACGGATAATTCCCGCTAGAAAATAGTTAGTTATACATAGAATGCAAGGGGGAATTGTTCAACAGATAAGAAAGCAAGAAAAACTACATATTTTCAAGAAGCATCCTCAAAATCGACACAGGTTTTTCAAACTCGGAAGTTCAACTGTCAATTTTTTGTGCCTGTTCACTTAAATTATTGAAAAAAATTTCGAAACTCAATCATATGATTTTTTTAGTGATAATAAAATAATACATACATTTTTAAAACAATGAATTTGTTTCAGCTGTTCTATCTCAAAGAGAAAAGAAAAAAAGAACAATGTATGATAAGAGTACACGTTCGTTCAAACACATATACTGTAACATGCCGTACGTAAAAAATAAAATATGAAGATCAAAGAGTTATGTGATTGATAAAAAATCAGAAATGAAAGAGAACAAGAGAAATGAGATGAATAAAAAAAACAGGATATTAGTCACATATTTCTGTGCCAGGCCAGTACACGATGAGAAAAAATACCAAAAAAAATTTACTACATACCATACAGTTTGAAGAAGAAGAAGAAGAAAATGAACAAAAGAAGTACTGTGTTGTTTCAAACAAAGAAACAATGTACTTTCTTGACAACAAAATAATAAAAAAAATAGAAAAGATAGAAAAAAACCAAACCAGTGTATCTTTTCTTTATATATAAACATTTATCAGCTTGTTAGCATATATAAATCTTAATGGGACATACATACATTCATCCAAAACTAGAAACGTTCCCGATAAATTCATCATGTGAGATAGAGAACGCCAAAGGCAAAAAAAATGTGAGAGAAATTGGAAAAAAAAAGGAGAAAGCTGGCAAAAAGTCCAATTTTTACCAACAGAAAAAGCGAAAAAAAATTGAGGGAAGAGGAGAAGAGCGACAAGCAAGAAAGAAACACGATGATGGGGGGGACACAAAAAAATATTCTTCACTTTCATCTATTACAAAACGAACGAACGTGAGAGGCGACGTGCACGATACATACACACACACAGGGAGGGGAGACAAAAAAAAAGCGAAAAAAGTCTGTCCCCTTTCACCACACCAAAAACGGGTTCTTCATTCCCACTACTACTACCTCACAAATTTTTTTTGTCAAGGGCGACTGAAAGCGAAAATGCCTTCCTTCTTTCTCCCACTTTTCGCTTTTTTTTGTAAATGTATGTATTGTACAACAATGAACCATTGTGGATGGATGGATTTATTGGGAACAATTATTCTTATTTTGGAAAATGACAATTTTCAGGAGGTTCCATGAGGGAACCTTCTAAATGTGGACCGAAATGATGGTAATTTAAAAAAAACAAAATTGTAACTTACACAATCCCTTGCCGGGGACAAATAGCATATAACTGTAGTCGTTAGCCAGTTTTAAAAATAGAAAGAATAGGTGAATCCAAATTCCAAAATCCAAACTCCAAAATCAAAGGCGCACAAGCCAAGAGTAAGAAAAAGTCACAAAAATGCCGTTGGGGCGATTATATGACGCAACAACAATGCCTGCCGATGCGCAAGCGACAGCAAGCGAAAAAAAATTTTCACTCTCGATCTCGGGTTCCCTTCACTTTCTCTCAATCTCTCCAAAAGCGCACCTTTCACTTTCCCCCACTCACTCCGCCTACGTTGTTGCCTTTACGCGCGCGCGCGCCGCCGCCGCTGCCGCAGCAGCGTAAAAAACTAGATATGCCATAAAACGAGAGAAGACGACGGAAGAAGCAACATAAGAGCGTTGTCTGTCTACTTTCTCTCCTGTGCTTCTTCTCTGTACAGGGAAATGAGATGCGACAAAAAAACGAGATGATATGTACATACATTATGAAACAGACAGACAAAAAGAACACACACACTGAGCGACACGTGCGTGAAGGGTGACGAAAGCATCTTGCCAATCCAAGGAGAAAAAGTGCAAATCGGACGGAGGGAACGAATGAAAGAACAACATTAGATTAGCTCAAAAAACAATGAAGATTTTCTATATTTGTGTTGATAAAGATAACGATGAAGAGGATGAACATACACATAAGTGACAAAAAAATAGTCGTCGGCAAGAAAAGGTCGAGATGCTCTTTTGAGAGTTCTTGTTCCGCTTTTCTCTTTCATTTTTGGAAACATCTTATCAAAGAACTTATTTGGAGAATGGACGGTTTGGGGATCACGAAAAAAAAACTAGAGACTTGGAGTCCGGACTGATTCAACTAAAGGTCTGCTCAATAAAATATGCTCTGGGTAAAGCGCAGAACACATCCCTACACATCTCACTTTAGGCTTATACCTGTAACATGAAAGTTAGGATGCCTAAAATAATTAAGAAATCCTGTATTGTAATATGAGCATGTTCTGATTTTTTTCTTCTGATGAATCAAAGTGTACACCGGATTCTAATATGAATTTACTGGAATAGAATTGTTGATAGAACTGTAATTCACTTCTGAATATTCTAGAAGTCCATCGGTGGCTTCTAGCGCTGCATTAATGCATATGCAGTTGCATAAGTACATAACTATGAAGGGAACGTCAACAGAATCATTTAAATTGTTCAAAAACCCATTATCAAGCCAAAATCCAAAATTTTAATCATATTTCTGACAAATAGAGACGAGTACCGTATCACAGGCTTCAATACTATCTTCTAGCTTATCCTAACTATAAGTACATAAAACGTATATATATGTATGAAAAGTTTAGGCAGACCATTTGAAGGTAGAGCGATAATTAGCAGAAAAATTTTCTCAAGAAAATTATAGGGTACATGAAAA